CATGTTGAACTCCTCTTTGAGCACATCCCTTGAAGGATCATAGGTATTGGCAACACCTGTGGAATTATATTTGCAGGAAAGAAGTGTGTCCCGTTTATTGAAGTATTTTGTGTTTAGAGTTTTTGACGTCTTGTCCATGCGTAGTTCAGGTACGCTCATAGCTGCTAGCCAAAGCTCTGGAGTTAAAAGTTTTCTGGCTTTACTAAAATACCTGTCTGTACTTATTTGATTGATGGTAGTTTTACTTTCTATTAGACTCCAAATGTAATCATTTGGCACGTTTCTAATTCATAATTTGTAATAATGTAATCGGCGATATTAGCATTAGCATTCCTATGGGTTTTTCCATGTATATTAGCATTGCGCTTACCACTCGCTGCCAAATTGCAGCCTTTGCCATTAGAAAATCTTCTTTTGTCACATCGCAATTTAATTGCACATGCAGTTAGTCGTTCAGCCCTATTATACTTGCAGCTCTATGCTAAAAGTGTATTTTCAAAGAGGTAATGATGGATTTCTTTGTAAAAGTTGTCCATCTTTCCAATAGAAAAAATTTGCCTGGACCAACATCACGTGATAACAACGTTACGTGATTACGTAATTCCGTAAGGTACATGTTCAGCCAATCAACTACTTAGACGTCATCGGCAGTCAACGGACCCGAGCCGATCTTGCACCCGAGCCGATCTTGTACCGACACCGGCTTCTTCTACACTCTCTGCCTGAAACGCATGAGTGAAGATGGACATAAGGACGTTTTTTAGACAAAAAGTATGACGACAGAACCCCAGCTTTGATGAGACTGGTGTTGACTCAGGTTTGTGAGTCTTATTTGAAAATATATGTTGTGCTGCTGGTTTGCCTAAAGTTAGCTTATCAGGTAAAGTTGTTGGAGAAAGAACGGGAATATTTACCATCATCTCACACTAAACACTAACAGGAACAATACTCTGCCCTGAATATGCTGAATATGTAGCTTCAGATTAAAAATTATGTGGTACAAGACAAATATATATGATGTTGACTAATGTGTGTCGTGTGTGTGTGTGTGTGTGTGTGTGTGTGTGTGTGTGTGTGTGTGTGTGTGTGTGTGTGTATGTGTGTTAAGCCCCGGATCTTCTTCAGTCCTAAATCAACCCCTGAGTGAAATATGAAATGCTTTTTTCATCAGCAAATCTGAAACGGGCTGTTGCTGTGCTGGTCTCTCTGAGCTCTCTCCTCCCACTTGATTGCACACACTTGACACCTACCCACTGAGTGGTGAAGCGTGCTTGTGTTGACCCTCGTCTGAACTGTCAGGCAAAAACATTAGCGGCACCGCTGAAAGGGAAGGGCGATGGCATCAAACACGTTTGTCTGTGTGTTCATCTGTCGTTTGGCGAGAAATCTCATAGAGGATGAAACCAACTTCACTTCTGGAGTCAACCCAATCCCAGCTGGCCTAAACTGGTTTAATCCAACATAAGTTCAAGTTTATTTATAAAGCGCCAAATCACGACGAGTGTCGTCTCAAGAAACTTCACGTAGTAAACATTCCAATGCGGTTTAGTTCATTAAGCCAATCGGTAAAAGGTTTCCTGTATAAAGAACCCAGCAAATTGCATCGAGTCACTGACTAGTGTCAGTGTCTTTACGGCAGTCCTCATAGTAAGCAAGCATTTAAATATAAATTACTGAAATTTCATGATTTAAAAGACTGGAAAATCTTACAAACTATGTATGAAGCCACTTTAGGTACACTGCCAAAAAACATTCTGGGGATATTTGAAAAGAAAGCTAGTAATTACATGCTGAAAGAAACGGATGTGTTTACAAAACCTAGATTTAGAACTAAAATTAAGGAGCGGAATATATCTGTAAATGGTGTTAACTCATGGAATAACCTTAAAAGTGTCGTGATCCGCCCCGTCCTCCCTGACTGTGTCTCTCCTGCCTTAATTAACCTTAATTGTTCTCACCTGTCCCTCATTACTCTGCCCATCTGTTCCTGATTTCCCTGTGTATTTATACCTCCCTCCTTGTTGCTGTCTTCGTTGGATCATTGTTTGTTCATGCGTGTTTTGTTCTGTCTCTCCCGTTCCACCATTAAACCATTTTTATTTTTTCATCCGTGCCTGCTTTCCTGCCTCCTGAACCCTCCACCACACTTGGTCCGCCATCTCCACCCTCACATCATGACTAAAAAGGAAATTTAAAAAACTCTGTCGTTTAACATATTCAAAAAATGTACCAAATTGAGTGTACTAAATGATTATGAAAATGTAAATTAAATCAATGGTCATGATCGCTCTGGAATTAAGAACAGGAATAAGTATAAAATGAATCTGTTTGTGTGTCTGACAAATGGTAATTATATATAAAGAGATTATTTCTTCTGGAAAGGGGGCAGAAATGAGATGTTTTTCTTCATTCTGCTCCTTGTCGTTCAAGTTAGATTTTTTGGTTATGTATATCTTATTGTTTGTATGTTTTATTTGTTTTTATTTTTAATGAAATAAACGATTTAAAAATAAATTAGCGACAGTAGAGAGGAAAACCTCCAGAGGATCCTGGCTCAGTATAAGCAGCCATCCACCACGACTCACTGGGGATGGAGGAGACAGAGCACACACACACACACACACACACACACACACACACACACACACACACACCAAGCAATGTGTCTATGGTTACATTGTGATTTCTTAGTAAATATTCTATTTGGCGAGAGATAAACTTTATTGTATTTATCCTAGTGAATCTATAATTAAACGGGTAAACTAGTAGTAGCACATCCAACGTCAAGGAAAGTAAAAAGTTATTATCAGGAGAGGGAGAATGTTTTAGTGTTAGCAGCAGTGTGCTAGACGATGGCCCCCTCCATGAGGCCACCACAGCTCAGCAGAACATCATTGTAGCTTCTTCTGGGGAGAAAAACACTTAAAGAGAAAATAAAGTTAGCTGAAAGAGCAGGAAATAATACAGTTGTAGCAATTAATACATATTAATACAATTAATACCAATAAGATGTGATATTCCATATAAATATGAAATATCAATCTGATTGGTCTTTGAATGTTTAATCAGAAGATTCTAGGGTTCTTTCCTTATTCAGGGACCATAAACACACTTCGTATTAATTCAGACAGTCAGTATATAGTTTATAAAAGTAATTTAATTATTTTTCCTAAACTAATAATTTATACATGACAGCATATGAATAATGAGATGTGGTGTGGCGGATGTGAGGTGTTGTGATGGAAGCTAGATGTTGTAGCAACCGTTCTTTGTATCTGAGAGAAAATGTGAAATCTGGGTGTAAAATAATTTGTTGTTTGTTTTAAACTAGAGAGTTGTTTATTGATAAAAAAAAACTCATCAGACTCCAGTATGCAGGCTTATGATACCCTTGTATGAGTTGCTCCCGGCGGTCCGGAGGTTTGCGGTCAAAGTGGTGATGTCACCAGACGTCATAACCACAATACTCCGAGATTAGTAGCTTCCTCTGAGTTCGGCTTCCCCGGCCATGAGATGCAACCCGGGTCTGCAGGTTAGGTGTCCAAGCTGGATGTGAGTTGAAGTAGCTCTGAAAGGAGCTGTTGTGTCTGTAATCACTTACAGCGTCGCAGAAAGGTTTTGACTTAAGGTCAAAGGAGTTTGTTTCAAGAGAGATGCTTCTTTCCCGATTTGGCCGAATCAGGTTCAGCTGGAAACTGGATTAATCTGGAAGTAATTGTTGTTTTATTAAACTACTTCGTTATGATTTCTGGCCAAGTTTGGCAAATCAGAATTTGACACGTTTCTGAGTATTTACCAACATCCCTCAGAAAGCCACGCCTTCCTTCAGACACAAACATGTTTTTAACCTTAACATGTATCTTATTGTAATGTGTGTGAGTGTAAACAATGATTAACTTGTTAAATCAAACACATGCTGATTTGTGATATAAATGAATCATTGTAAGAACAATATTCATTTCTAATTCATTGATTTAAGCACAGATTATTCAAACATTTGATTTAAACTTCTTGTTCATTCATCACATGTTATTATTTAACTTATAACTATAACATCGTGGAGTCTTCACCTATTCAGAGCGAAGAATGTTGACGTCTGGCGTTCACACAGTGAGTGCAAGAACCTTGGGTGAGAATGTTTGTTTGAATGTTTTGTCTTCATGGTATGTAAACACGCGGTGAGCAGAGCCTTCTGGATTTAGAAGGCCAAACAGAAAGTGGATTTATGCCGTAGATGAAAGGTCACTATGTTGGTCAATATGTAGGTGAAAATTGATCATTTTGGTATGTTACACAGTTTGAGAGCAAATTGTGGAAGAAAGTAGTCGAGTGTGGAAAGTGGTCAGTGTATCCTCCAGCAGTCTAAGCCTATAGCAGCATAACTACAGAGATAACTCTGGATAACCTACCCTTTAAGATGGAGGCATGTTGGAGGCAGGGCAAGGGAGAGCCGTCTTTACCGACCGTACACTCCACCTCCCTCTAGTCCCCCACTTGTCCAGATCTAGGCTAACGTCAGATTTTAACCATAGGCCCTATCAAATAAAAATGTTTTGAGCCTAGTCTTAAAAGTAGACAAGGTGTCTGCATACATAGCCCTGTCACCTTCACAGATGTTGGCGTCGTATGAGAGAATCATCCCAAACATGTGTTGCAAATGATGCAATTTGCTGGGTTCCTTATATAGGACACATTATTTCTGATTGGCTTAATGAACTGTGAATTGGAATGTTTATTATGTGAAGTGCCTTGAGACGACTCTTGTCGTGATTTGGCGCTATATAAATAAACTTGAATTGAATTGAATTGAATTGGTGATTTTATGTTTGAGCACTCGTAACGTTAGCTGCAAGGTTTGACCAAAGTGATTAAAAGTGCATCATGAATTTCCTTGGTTACATTTTCTATGGTCCATCTGTGGTAGGGTGCTGTTTCGTACCAGTCTATGACTTTATCAGTGTTTTCACAGTTTAAAGGTTCTCTTTCTGTGTTTGTCTCAGACTCCGCTGCCAGAGGCTCTGAACTCCAAGGACACCATGAAGCAGGTGTGTATGAACAACGTTCTGTAGTGCATCTCCTCCCCAGCGCAAAAAGCTATTCAGTGTTCTCTCATTCGAGGTGCTGAAACAGAGAGTTACAGTGATCCCTCGCTACTTCGCGGTTCGTTTATCGCAGATTCACGACTTCGCAGATTTTTTCTTTGGATTCAAGGGAAATTTGCTGATTCGCGGTATTTTTCTATGCGAAATATCAAGAAATTCCTGTTTTTTTTTCATCAATTTCATCATAAAATGCACTTTTTGTAATAAAACTATAAATAAACCAAGTAAAAATTTCTTTCTATGTAAAGGGAGGGTTTTAAAAGTCTGAATACTGAATACGTACCTGTTAAATAAATACTGTAAATATGGTGTCCCTACTTCGCAGATTTTCACCTATCGCGGCCAGGTCTGGAACGCATCTACCGCGATAAACGAGGGATCACTGTAGACCATTTGAAAGAGTAATTAGAAAGTTAACCTCTAGCTCGGACTAAGCCTGAATATAGAAATAAGAGTATTTTGTTTAAACACTATTTAATAGCAAGACTCATCATCTAAAAATAAATCATGATTTTATAACTTTGGTTTTACGACTCCCACTTCAAAAAGAAACTATAATCATGGCTCTGTTCACCCTTGTCTTTCGTCTCTGAGCTTCTCTGACCTCTGCTAGCACTGAGACTTGCAGCGTTGGCATCCTCTCAAACTGCTGAACACGTTCTTTTGTTGTTATGATATCCTGCACTACTACTCAAGCATGTCTTTATTAAGAAAACACATAGCTGTGCAGTCATAAAGAGTTTAAAGGACATTTAAGGACCATCCTCGTCCAACAGGGCCCTGCCTCGCCATGTCCAGAACCCCATGCTGCTTTATCTTACTTTAGAGAGCCTTTCAAAATAATGATAAGAAGGTTTTATTCCTGGTTAGGTTCGGCAGTCTTTTCTTTGACTGGTGAGGTCATCTTTTACCTCCAAACAATCACAAAGACATGATTTCTTCTCTTGTTTTGGCCAAGAACAAAGAGATGATGGAGAATGTGTCTGCAGGAGGCTGGAGTTGCTTGGAACATGTTTTCCCTCAAAGTTGATTAAAATCATACATTATGATCCCAAATGACTTTAGTAAGCTGCCCATTCCCTTACAGATTCTTTCTCTTTGGTTTTAACACAAAAACGTAGAAGGCGGGGGTGTCCAAACATTTCTGGAGAGGGACCAGAGTTGTCAAAGTAAAGGTTCCTGCCTATCAGTAAAAATCTGAACATTAAACGTTGCCTGCTAGAGAAATACAGTTCCGTATGTCTAGAAAGGCAATTGGGGGCCATGCTAATATTTGCATCGTAGCTCCTCCATGGATGCACTTTTTTTCTCCATCGTAGGTGCCATAATTACCACAGGAGTGACATTCTAGGCCCTCTGCAAAGCTGTTTGACGAGGTTCCTATCTAATACGCAGTGGCGGTTTTACCATTATGGGCTCGACACACGGGAGGCGACATCGCCTCTCCTCCATTCATTTTCAATGAGACATGCGCGACAAAGCGATAATCGCGGGTCTCCCTCCTACTAAGCGAAACGTGAAAAACGTGCGTGTGACATTTTGCGCTCGTGCAAGTGTCGTGCACAGGCGACCCAGCGACGCGATCCCAGAAAGTTGAAATATTTTCTACTTTTCATCGCTGTCGCTCGGACGAGGACCAATCAACGGAGGTTTTATTCACTGACCAATGAGCGGGCAGGATGCTCCGTACATCTCCGACTCCGAGCAAACATGAATGAGAAGTTGTTTATTGTTATTTTTATATAGTAATATCAGAAGTAAAATTTCACATAACTCTAGCAGCACCTTGTGAAACATCATATCTACCACTTTTTAACTCTGAACCGCTTAAATAACCTTAATTCCCTCCAACCTGACACAGCAAAACAAAACAACGGAAGTTTCAATTTCGCCATGGAACAGAACGGGTAGACGGCTTTGCCGTTGGCCGCTGCCGCGGATCGCCTCCCGTGTGTCAGGTAATAAAAGGGACAGCGACGAATTTCGCTGATCGCGATCGTTTGTCGCCTCCCGTGTGTCGAGCCCCTTTGGCATACGTCAGCGTCCACCTGGGGCCCCCTTATGTTGGGGGGCCCCCTAGCCCTGACTGCTCGCATCCCTCTGTTAATGCCACAATGGACCATTCCTTTAACAGCACAAACAGGAAGTGATTGGTAGTCATCCCAGTCCAATCCAGGTAGCAATTGGAGGCAGTAATGCACTAAACTGTTGTTTGCCAACTGCCATTAGGCCACAAATAAGAAGAAGAAGAGAGGCGGGAGCGTTCGTAACAAACTCGAAGCAGCAGTCACAACATTGAGCATGAAATGGAGTTATCCTAGTGGCTCCAATAAGAGAAAGAAGCAGCTTGCTTTAAAAAAAGCTTTTATCTTCACTTCCGAAGTGACGTTGTTTTTCCATGTAAACATCAAAAGGAAGCAGAAAAGGAAAGACAATGGAAAATGTTTAAAGAGAGGAAAACATGGACCAAAATGGAAAATAGAAGAAAAAAAAGAAAGGCAAAAGAACAGGAGCGCTGACAGGAAGAAGAAAGCAGAGCAAATACTGAAGGCACTCAAAGGGGGAGAGACAGGAAAAAAGAGGAGGACTAATGAAAAGTGGAAATAACTCATGTCAGAAGAGGGTAGAGTTTCGCAAAAGATAATATTGTCAGAAATGTTTGTGTAAGGAGGCCCCATGTCTGTGTTCGCCTTGGGCCCCCAAATTGCTAAATCCGCCACTGCTAATACGCCTTATTCCTTTCGTCTGCGCGCTGCAGAATGAACAATTTCTGTGTTTCATAGCTGCAGGTTCATTGAACGCAATTTATTTTGGATTACTGAAAAGGAGGAACAGGTCCAGTTATACATCAGGTGTATGATGAAGCTATCAGTAGATCTCCATTCATGCAGAACACTCTGCTTTGTCACCAAGCACAATTAGAATCACAACGAGTAATTTTATTGACTTTTTTCACACTCATTTCCAGATGGAACCATTCACTTACCTTGTTTTGTGCTAAGCTAGAGCTAAAGGAGAACTACTGGATCAGGAGATTGGCTGGGCTGGTTACAAATTGTTTTTTCCTACTTATCTAACTATGAGGAATATGGCAACAGTCAAAAATGTACTTTGGGGTGGAATATCCCTTCAAGGCAGGTCCTCAGTTTGTGTGCATTAAAGGTTTTTGGGACAAACCTATCCATACACCCTGTAGAAGTCCTTGTGAAATTCTTGTCTGAGAAAAGCGTAGAAAACGGACGTGTCCGAGGCCTGAGAAGAGTCGTGCTGTAACTCAGGATGGAGCTGATGCCTTCAGAAGAGTGGCTTTGTGTTTTTCTCACACAAAGGCAGAAGGGACTAAGTCAGTCCACAGAGCTGCGTTAAGGTGCTCCTCTCTGGCTGCTTCTCACCCAACACGTCCCACTGAGGTCACATGGGAGGGCAGACACACAGAAACGTCTCGCCTACAGACGTCGTCATCCTTCCACACAGCGAGGCTGAAGGATGAAAGCCTGTTCTTCGCGCTGTAGAGGCTCCAGTAGCAAGGACGAGAAGTTACTGGGGATGACAGATTGAGTAGCGTGGTTGTGAGGTGACAGAGGTACTTACAACGCTTGGCTAATGCTGAGGATGACTTGTGCTCGAGCATCCGCTCTGCTACGGAGTAAATTGTGCAGAACAGCTGCTATAAGGGAAGCCACATTTCAGCAACGCAGATAAAGATCTTCTAGATTTGACAGCTCTGGCGTGACCTAGTTTAGAGATTTAATCTCGACTCCTTCACTTATGTAGACACTCTACCGACAGGATTATTGCTCTGGTCGTAAAAATAGGAAACGTCCTTCCTTTGTGGATAAATTAGGTCCGTTGCTGTGTTCTCCTTCACTTTACCGAGCGTTTAGCGTTAAATTAGGATAACATCAACACCAATAAGAAATCCAGCTGCAGAGGGACTTATAACAGAGGGGTTATCCATTCTCTGCACGCTTACATGATCCACAGTGAGGGGTTGGCCTCATGGTGACTTTTGCAGGAACTTGAATGAATAACCACCTAACCAAAAAACATGTTTTTGAGCTGACACGCTTGAGAATTTGACTCTGGGAGTTTCGAAGGGAAAACAGGCCCCTGGGAAATCCGGTGACCTCTAGACAGCCTCCCTCCAGAGGGGGGTGCGGACGCCTCAGCCCCCATTAACTCCCCCGATGTTGGGTCTGGGAAGGAGCCGGTGTGAGGCTGGTATGTTAAAGTGCACAGCCCGTGGTGAGTTATAATTAGTAGTCCCATGTGAATTTGGACCTACTGGCGAGGTGGAGTGACCTCTCTCTATGGATGAGAAATGGTCGTGTTCACGTCATCGAGGGACGGGGTCAGGAGGAAAGGAGAAAGGTCAGTGGGTGTTTACGTCGGCCGTGAGGACCATCACCTTGGGCCAACAGCAATGACTGGAGGAAAATCCAAGGCACAAGCAGGCGATGGTGTGAGTCACTCGCGTAATCACAAGACATGCAGGAGGTGTCTGGGGGGAGTCAAGCAGGGAGGATTAACGTTTCTGTTTCTAACTCTGTTCTATAGTTTATAAATATGGGTCATGAAGCTTTACTAAGCCACAAAACGAGCACTTTCTCTTATTATATAAGCTTTTCTTCTGCATGAGTGGCTGACAGGGCTTTCACGTCATCTGCATCCAAATATTCAGACTTTACACCACAACTCAGTCAGTTGTGTGTGGGTACTTGTGTTAATCTCCCTGTGGTGACCTAAATCTTTCTACACACTGACATTATTTCCAGGACTTCTGCGACAAAATGTGAAATACTGCAGCAAACCGAGGTGTCTCTGTGTAGGGCAAGGTTTAGATTTAAACAAGAGGCAGTTTGAGCTCAGAAGTCTGTAGGAAACGATCATTGTGTGTGTGTGTGTGTGTGCGTGCGTGCGTGTGTGTGTGTGTGGGGGGGGGGGGGGGAGCACTGAGGGTGGTCAGAAACTAAAAGTTTGTTCTACAGATTCTCTCAGGCTTGAAACTCAGTGAGGTGTGGGAGAGTTTCACAAAGACATTTTTAACACTTTCTCACCCTCCTGCAGCTCCCCCTCACACACACACACACACACACACACACACCACCACCACCATAACACCTACAGAAATCTCCGCTCATGCTGTTGACATACACACCATCCAACATGGTTTCCACACTTCAACAAAGAGTGCGTCCCTTCTTGTTTCACTTGCATGCCAACATTTGTCGGAACATTTGCTGCTTCAGCTGACGTGTTTGTCACCGTCACAGACGTTGGCGTGGACGGTGAAAAGTGCCACCTGTGTTACAAATCGTCTTTCAAAGAGAACGCAGGATTTATCTTATTGAAACACAAAAATTCTGTTATTTCTTATTATATTTGCTGTTTATTCAGTTTCTTTCAGACCGGGTCATAAAAGCTGCAAGATCCGTGTACAGCATCATGACTGAGAGGAACCCTGACCTCATCCGAGATAGGAAGCATCACCTGAAAACACACAGGTGTGCAAGCATTGCTTTCATCCTGATCTTTTATGATGTCTGCAAGTCACGTGCAAACCGACATGTGGCACTCATCTCACAGACAGTGCTGCTCAGGAAAGGAGCTTGTTGACTGGCTGATGAAGCAGAACGAATGCCTCCAGTCGAGGAGCCAGGCGGTTGGGATGTGGCAGGTCCTGGTTGATGAGGGAGTTCTTGTTCATGGTAAGATTTACCTCAAGTCCCTCATCAACTGCAACTAGCTCCATTTGTGTTCCTCATCACTTAAAATTTCAAATAACCTTATATAAAAAGAGCAAAAAAAAAGTCTTTTACCAAATCATTAATGGTTGATTTGAAAGAAGCAATCATTCCCAGTAGCCAGAAACATAGATTTATGCTTCCATTCAGATGTCTTGAACATGTTCAGATGATAATCTCTTTGGCTGTGCTGTTTTCACTCAGCCGAGGCTTGACTGAGGCTCTGTCCTCCTGATGGGGACCACTCCAATCAGGACAGAAAGACTTCATCATGTAAAAGAGATTCACTCAGAAATAATTTGTACTTATTTCCATTCATGTGGAGTTTTAGGGACATTCTACCTGCAATAAGAATTATCTTGAAGGTTGAAACATCCCTTTTTCTTTTGTTTCTGAACCAATCAGGGCTTTGCATGATAAATTAAAAGTCTACCAGTGTTTAAATGTCTGCAGTCACCTTTAGTGTCTGAGTTTTAAACTTAGATTATTTTATTTGTAGAAGTGATGTCAAATCTCACATGATGTAGCAAGATTGGTCAATAGTTGCAGCATATGATGGGTATGACTTTCAGCTTGTCTACGAATTTTAGCTCAGAATTTGTTACAAGAGAAAAGAGTCATGTTTTAATTGCTAATATTGATTACCTGCATTTAAAATGATAAACGCCTTCACACACCAACCAGGCTCGTGTATTTCAGACCCCTCCCCGTCCTCAGGCTAACACTCTCTAAACAGAGTCACTGTGTTTTAGAAGTTCAAATCCTGTGACAGTCATCTGTTAAAAATGCAACACACACACGGTTTTTTAGGTTCAATGAAATGTAAGAACTGGATGTGCTTAGCCAGTTAGAGGGTTAATAAGGAGGTACAGTCTGTCCATCTGTGGATCTCTACAGATTATCTTGACTGAAACATCTCTTTTAGCTCAGTATGTGTAGCACTGACAGAGATTGAGTCATTTTTGTTTTAGTGCATCAATCAATCAATTCAATTGAGTTTATTTCTGTAGCGCCAAATCACGACGCGAGTCGTCTCAAAGCACTTCATAAAGTAAACATTCCAACACAGGTCAGTTCTTTAAGCCGATCAATAGAAGGTTCCTATATAAGGAACCCAGCAGGCTGCATCAAGTCACTGACTAGTGTCAGAATCTTTACAGCAATCCTCATACTAAGCAAGCATGTAGCGACAGTGGAGAGGAAAACTCCCTTTTAGCAGGAAGCAACCTCCAGAGGGTCCTGGCTCAGTATAAGCAGCCATCTGCCATGACATGCACACACACACACACACACACACACACACACACACACACACACACACGTACTTGGAGTCATACCAAGTATGTTTCTATGGCTACCGGGGGGTTTTCAAGATGATTTCCAGGTAGACTGGGTTGACTTTAATGGAAAATGGACAGCATGACGTCTTTTTGACCACCAAATCACTTCTAGCCCGAACATCCTGATGGAACATCAGAATTACGACCTTCATCAGAAAACCAAGCACATTCTGCCAAACCCCATCCTACAGGTTTACTGCCCCCTGGTGGAGAATCTATAGGTGTCCAGGGCCAGCTTTATTTATCGCTCTTGTACCTTTTAAAATTATATAATAAAATGTTTAAGGTTCTTATATTAGCCAAATTATTGGGTTTTTTTTTTTCAGGGTTGAAGTTTTACTGAAATATTTCATGATTTGCCAAAATCCAGACTGTATGTTGGGAATGACTCCCAGCTTTTTAAATTCAGTTTCAATATCTAAAAAACTGACTGAATACTGGAATGAAATAGTTCTAAGTGTTTGCTAATGTTGATTAGCTCGGCCATCTTTATTTGGGTCAACCAAGTATCTGTACGTGTATTTGTACAATTATTCATTATACATGTCATTTGTTCAGTGGTTCTGCAAACAGAACAATCACTCACAGGCAAAAACATTATCGCCCACCTTTCACCTTATGGAAGCCGGACTCGGTATGCAGGGCTAATATCAGCCAATCTATTCCAGGTGCTGTTTATGAGATTTCTTTAGTTTGATACAACTGGCCTGACTTCAGTTAAAGTAGCTGTCCTACTCTGCATAAATAGAAGATATGTGATGTTGGTTACCTAAAAGCATTTATTTTTTATTGTTATGTCGATACAGTGATCCCTCGTTTATCGCGGTAGATGCGTTCCAGACCTGGCCACGATAGGTGAAAATCCGCGAAGTAGGGACACCATACAATTATCGTATGATCACATTCTGTTTTTGTGGGTAAAACTCAAGAAAAAAATTTTTTTACTTGGTTTTTTATAGTTTTATTACAAAAATTGCATTTTATGATGAAATTGATGAAAAAAACAGGAATTTCTTGATATTTCGCATAGAAAAATGCCGCGAATCGGTGAAAAATACAGCGAATCGGCGAATTTCCCTTGAATAAGGCTCCAAAGAAAAAATCCGCGAAGTCGTGAATCCGCGATAAACGAACCGCGAAGTAGCGAGGGATCACTGTATATGAAACATTCCCAGTAATAACCATAATGTTTCTTTAACTGGGACGATTTGATCCCCCTCTGTGTTGGGTATCTGTCCAGTGAAGCAGGAGTTAAACTTCCATGACAAGGACGCCCAGTTCTACCGCTTTCAGGACTCCGAGTTCGGCTTGAACCACACGAGCAACGAGAAGGACTCGGAGGATGAGCTGCATGAAGCTCTGTCCCTCCTGAGTCAGCTGGGCCCAGACGCTCTGCTCACCATGATTCTGCGCAAATGGTCAGTTTATCCAGCTGCTATTTATAATCCATGAAGGCACCTTAACGAACACACAGCCCCTCTGTAGAATTGGACATGTTTCTGATGGTGCCTTGGTTTTGTGTCTGATCTGGTCTTGTGTTCAGCCCTAGTCAGAGGAGCCCTGAGGACATCGAGGTCATCTATGAGGAGCTGCTCCACGTGAAGGCTGCTGCTCATCTCTCCTCCTCGGTCGGTTATCTTTGACTTATCCAGTTGCTCCTGGTTTGGATATCAAAGCTGATTTCTTCCTTGGTGGTTTAGGTGCGTAAGGAGCTGGCTGCAGTGCTGGTCTTTGAATCCCACAGCAAGGCTGGAACAGTGTGTGAGTGTGACGCTGATCTCCACACACCTCTGATTGTCTTCAGAGTTTGTTCTACACAAGTATTCAGAACATCCTTTTGCGTTGAATCATTTGTGTTTGCTCTTCGCATTCTTCATCTGCTCCTGAGCATTAAACGTTGATGTAGCGTTTCATTGAAAACGTGCCCTAGCATGGCGGCTATTCATTGACAGATGTGTGGGTAGATGACTAATGTGTGTGTGCTCCTCTTGGTTGTGTAGTGTTCAGTCAGGGGGATAAAGGGACCTCCTGGTATATCATCTGGAAAGGCTCTGTTAATGTGATCACTCATGGGAAGGTAGTTCAGCTCACAGAATAATAAACTACTGCTTTTACTAATCAGATGATCTGTGATGCTGACGCTTCGATGTTCCTACAGGGTCTTGTGACCACTCTGCATGAGGGTGAGGACTTTGGGCAGCTAGCGTTGCTAAATGATGCTCCTCGTGCCGCCACCATCATCTTAAGAGAGGACAATTGCCATTTCCTTCGTGTTGATAAACAGGATTTCATCCGAATCCTCAAGGTTGGTCTTGCCGTTTCACATTCTGACCTGCAACGCCTCAAATGCAACGACATGATTGGGGGCACAGCAGGTCGTGTTTGTGAGCGGCAGCGACAGAAATCCGTGTGGCTACTTTGCTCTTGCCTGACCTTCAGGATGTGGAGGCCAACACGGTGCGACTGGAGGAGCATGGGAAGACCGTACTGGTGTTGGAGAAGAGTGCTGACTCAGCTGAGCAGGGAGGAGCTGGAGCCAGCAGCAAGTAAGAAACTGAAACGGTGAAATCTGATCAGACACACAAAGACTACATGAAAACTCATCAGGATTAGAGAGTTTAAGCGGAGCTTGGTTGGACCCTGACTCGTTCAGCTCTCTGTCGTAAAGAATAGTCTCAGAAAGTCATTCATATCACTTAAAAACAGGTCATCTCTGTTCCGCGGGTCCGTGTCCCATGGCCTGGACGTAGGTTATTATTCAGTTAGGGGTTGACTTGTATAGAGCTCCGGGAGTTGACGTCACTTCTCCCGGCATGCAACAGTTCAAATCGAAACGGCGCCATATTGGCATGCAGAAGCCGGCAGCTGGACTATTTGTTATTGTCAGAAAACTCAATCAAATGGGAAATATGGTAGATTCCTGTTGTGCCCCAGGATGCAGAACAGACACGGACGACATAAGGAATGAGCCATCTACAGGATTCCCCAAGATCCGGAACGCCGCAAACGTTGGATGATTGTAATAAAACGCGCTAGTGACCGGGCTGAAATGAAACTGTGGGATCCCGAGAGTAAAGGATTTCACTTATGCAGCGACCGCTTCATTTCAGGTACTTAAACCGACGTTTCCTCACCTGTGCATGGTATTTATTTTAAATGCTTTTATTATGATTCTTAGTGGGCTTCCTAAACTTATTTTGGCGTGGCTTTTTCTGTCTTATTACTCATAGCAACAAGTAAACATCACGTAAAACGTTGCCTCGTGAGTTCTGCATGCTGCCGTTTACGTGTTTTATGATCACAGCAATTAACCGACTAAGCTGTATTTAATTTTTAAGCAATGGTTGATCAATTGTCAGGTCACACATAAAAAGCACTTTGGATTGCTATTATCTGTCTCACCGAGACGGATCTCAGACAGATCCTGAGACGCTCCTGCCTGACATATTTATTTTATTCACGGAAAAAAATCAAACTAGTGATTTCTCTTGGCGTTCAGTTCATACATTCAAACAGCACAGCACTCTATTTAAACTACTTACATGTAAATCTATGTTATTTGTCCATCCATCCATCCATTTTCATCCGCTTATCCGGAGTCGGGTTACGGGGGCAGTAGCGTCGAGAGGCCCAGACTTCCTTCTCCCCAGCCACCTGGGCCAGCTCCTCCGGGTAAATCCCAAGGGGTTCCCCGGCCAGGTCCGGTAAGAAGTCCGCTCCGACAGCTTCTGGCGTTTTTAAAAAGTATCCCGGGGGCACGGTAAGGGTCGGAGATGTTTAGTCTATTTAATTTCTGACTATATAAAATGATTTCTTCGGTTTTAAAGTGTGAAGTAAACTCCGACGAAGTAAAATCCAAGCCGATCCCGTTCATGTTCATGTTTACGATCCGTGTTTGTTTACCTTTTTTTCCTGCCAATATGGCGTCTACTGAGAGTCACGTGGGGTCTGGAGCTCTATAGATTATTTTCCCTTAATAAATGAAAACCTCATTTTAAATCTGGTAATTTTTTTTAACTTAGGTCATAATGAAATTTTTCTGATGATCTGAAACTTTTTTTTACATAATTTTTCATTTATTTCCCAACATAAACATCACATATTTTTGTTAAATCTGAACATTGTTTTTAGATTTTAATTCCATAAACAAAGAACCAAGTTGTGTTTTCTTGTTTCAACAGTACAGTGCCTAAACCTTAATGAACACACAACAACACCAGACGGTTTGTCTTTCTCTGTGCAGATACACAGTTATGTCGGGATCGCCTGAGAAGATTCTGGAGCATCTGCTGGAAACAGTGAAGCTGGATTCAAATGGAAATGATCCCACAGGTGGGAGCTGACAGACGCATCCTTAGGTTTCAATAAAAGTGATTCAGGATCCTCAGACAAAGCTGACCTGCTGATGATTTCCTCCCAGCAGATCCCTGCGTGAGTGACTTCCTCCTGACCCACAGGGTCTTCATGCCCTCCAGCCAGCTGTGTGCAGCGTTACTGCATCAATACCCTTTAATGCAGATGGAGACAGTTATTCCTCCACTGACAGAAAGAACAGTGCTGCTAAGAAAGTTTATAGTTATTGCCTTAACTTCCGCTGCACCTACCAGGCTGAGCTCTCAGAGGGCTCCGAGCAGGAGAAGGATGCTTATGCGTTCAACTCCAAGCAGAAGGTAGTGAAGCTAGTCGGCCAGTGGGTGGCGCTGTACAGCCATCTGTTGAAAGAAGATCCCGCTGCTCTGGACTTTTTGGAGGTACAAGTCCAACTTAATTATACTGCAAACTCAAAAACAAAAGGATTGCTTGAATAATGTTTGTATTTGAATTTCTTTGTTTGGGCTGAAACAGAGGATGAAGAAGGAGGTGGCAGCTGATTACCGCTTGTCCTCCATTCTGAAGGAGCAATTTAGAGAAAGACGAAGAGCAAAAATGTAAAACTTTTTTTCCTGAAGAAATATATTTAGTAAATATTACAAAAAAAGGACCTAATTCTTTTATTATCATTTTTTTTCATCAACTGACAGGCTGGAGAACGGGTATCAGTCACTGAGCAGGGTGAGCTTCACACAACAGATGTTTCCACAAAACAGATGTTTTCTGATGAACGAATATATATATATATATATATATATATATATATATATATATATATATATATATATATATATGTATATATGTATATACACACATACATACACACACACATATATATGTATATATACACATACATACACACACACATATATATATATATACACACACATATATATATATATATATTTCTTTTTTTTTCAACAGAATCAGCCGTTCGATTGGTTTTCTCTTTGTGAGGAGTGCGTTGGGAGGATTCTTCCAATCAAAGCCCAGGATAAAGGTACGATATACTCAAATCAATTAAATAAATCATCTGAACTTTACTGGATTTGTAGCTTATTTTAATCCGCTAGATTTTACACCTTTCATACAAATAAACTAAGTCTGAGATCCATGATACCGTTGGGGGAAACTAACAGAAAAACATTATTACCTGAACTGACCGCTACAGGAGTTTTTAGTTTAGGATGAAATGCAGTTTTTAAATGTTTTTGTATTTTTTCTAATATTTGTTCATTTCTAACATCGTTATATCATTTTGAAGGGTTATGAATGGACTCATATAGTATATAATATAATTGAAATTACTAAAGGGTTGAGCCAGAACAAAAGTTTAGTCTCAAAAGCAGACAGATGAAAACTGGAAGCTGGTTCCACAAGAAAGGAGCCTGATAACTAAAAGCTCTTCCTCCCATTCTGCTTTTAAAAACTCTAACCTGAGGTCTGTTGGGAACATCTGGAACAAGAAGATCTCTAGTTTTTATGAGTTTGAAGTAACGGGTTTAATTCATGCATCTATTATGTGAACTGCTTCCTTCTCATTTGGGTCATGGGGAGAAGAGACGGACACTGAACAAGTCACCAGTCCATCACAGGGACACATGGAGAAAAGCAAACACACACTCACTGACGCCAAGGAATCGCTGAGGGTCACTAATTAACCCAGCATACATATTTTTGGTCTGTGTTTTATTTATTTATTTACAGTGCTACCAACCACACCACCATGCGGCCTTGTGTCAAACTCAGTTATTGTTATTTTGTCTAGGGAGCAGATGAAGTTATGCTTAAACTCATGAAAAATGAACACATATGAGGCAGAGCTAAGTGATTATCTTCTAAAAGAAAATGTTTTAAAAGTTCCTGAATGGATTATGCCACCGTGTGTTGGAAAACTGTTCTCTGGTAAAGCTTTGTGGGTTCCACCAACATCTGAAGGGGTTTTACTGATAAATCTGAGCTGAGATAACCAGTCATCCAAAATGAAACGTCTCATCTCCTCTAACTTCAGTGCTGTATGAGGTCTACAGGCCCGACAACAAGCCCCTATCTCTGATGCTCCCTGTGAACTCATCTGTCCAGGATGTGATGTCGGCTTTAGTCAAACCAGTTGGAGATCACGTCCTGGTCAAAATGAACTCCGCTGGAGGTGGGTCCCATTTAAACATTAAAGTCAAAGTTCTTGTTTTTTAGGTAAAAGCTTTTTTTTTATTTTAACACAAACAGAAAGAGCTCAGTTAAAGCTGGATGCCTGTGGGGTCTACACCGCTCTGGGTCTCAATGAAAGACTGTTCATTTGCACGAGCAGCGAAGTGGAGCAGCTGGTGAGAAACGTGGGATTGATGCATGTTTTAAATAAGGAGAGCCAAGCCGTGCACAACCTCATCTTTTCTTCCTCTCTGGCAGAGACCCCTGAGGGATCAGCAGGGCCCAGAGCGAGGAACAGCCGACCTCATTGAGCAGATGAGCTCCAAAGACCTTGCCATTGAACTCACCAACTATGACTGGGAACTGTTCAATGCCATGCACGAGGTAACTTTCTCAAGATTTCAAAAGTTTCTCGAAAACAACAAGGAAATGTTCGATTTCACAATTGGAAACTTCCCCAAGAGACGTTCTGGTTTCCAAACTGAAACTGGCATTCAGACCAAGTATTAAGTATCCCACCTTTATAATCTAATCACATCTACCTTTGGTGCATCACCTGTGAAAGCTTTCCTGTTTGTGACCTCATAATGTTCCTCTTTCTCCAGGTGGAGCTGATCTACTACATCTTTGGCCGCCACAAGTTCCCTGGAGCCATCACAGCCAATTTAGAGCGGTTTGTGCGTCACTTTAACGAAGTTCAGCACTGGGTGGTGACAGAGCTGTGCCTTTGTGAGGACCTGGTGAAACGGGCTGTTCTGCTCAAGAAGTTCATCAAGATCGCTTCAGTGTAAGAGCCGATCCAGAAAACACAAGTCCATCTGGTTCTGACAGAGACATTTACCTTTTTTTGGGGGTTCATTTGTAATCAAATACAGCATGATACCTAACTGAATTTAAAGTTCAAATGGCAATCGTTTGTTCATCCATTCATTTGTCTCCACTTATGCGGGTCCGGGAAGTGGAGGCAGCAGCAGCAGGGAAGCCCAAGCCTTCCCTTACCCAAGCTCCACCCTATGGGAACCTAAAGACATGAAGTTAGAATCCCCCTGTAGCACGTCCTTGATGGACCCAGGGCCCTCCTGCCTACTGGACATCTCTGAAACACCTCCCTTGGCTGGTGCCATCAGAGCCGTGTCCAGGACTTTTAAAATGGGGTGGCCCTTGTGGGGCACTTGTTTATTCATGGGTGGCACCAATGGTTATGCTTATTTATTTACACAAATCCTTTATTTATTTATTTACTTTCTAGTGAATTTTTGAGTTTCACACTGCACAATCACCATTTTTTTCCTCTTCATCTTCTACTTTTGTGGTGGTTAGCAAGTCACTTCTTGTTGCATTACTGCCACCAACTGGATTTGAGTGGAACTCTAAATACTATGTATGTGAATAGGAAAAAATATTAAATACTAGTAATACTACATGCCTGGGCTAGAAAACAAGGTTAAAGGTGCATGCAACCACAATATTTTGGAGTTTACAACCCAAGCCTTTTGTCGACAATGTAAAGTCAATTTAAACTGGAACTTAGTGGGGTGGCCAATCAGATTCTAAGGGTGGCATGTGCTACCCCAGGCCACTCCCTGGACACGCCCCTGGGTGCCATGCACAACCCCTAGGTTCAAATAGTTACATTAATAGGATGCAAAATTTAGTCTGTTTTTGGTTGTCTGAGCTTGCATTTAATAGAATGTGTCATTGAATAGATGGTTTTAAGTCCTTTTTGACGGTGTGCAAAAAAAAATAAAAAATAAAACATTATATACGACTAAGAAGATATTTATTTAAATCTAGAAGATTCTACGGTTGGTGGCCGGTGAGGATGTGGTTATCGAGCATCAAAGGTTAAAAGGACCAGTTTAATCACAAAATGGACTGAGCTTTACAAACGATTTAGCAGAAATGTTTTTCAGGATTATAAATCAAAAAGTTGAGAAGCATCTGTTGAGTGAAGTCATGGTTTTATGTCTGAAGCTGCCCCCTAGTGGTCATGACACTTTATAAAACAGAGACATGTTTGTGGCGCATCACCACAAGTCACAGCAAAATGATCAGAAAGCATTTGTATTTGCTCTAAAATCAATAAGTTTGTGCAAAGTGATGCATCAACCAGAGCAGCGTGGTAAAGCCACTGCTGAAACTGTTGCTCAGTGAGAAACGACAGATTGCTTAAATATCCCCTTTACTGCAGAGCCGATCAGACACAAACTCTGCTGTTTACCACCGCGTGTGTTTCTTTTCAGGTTGAAGGAGCAGAAGAATCTTAATTTATTTTTTGCTGTCATGTTTGGATTGAGCAACAGTGCAGTGCAGCGGCTTTACAAGACCTGGGAGGTGAGCGAGCAGTGGTCATGATGTGAATAAGTATTTTATTTAGGATTTGCTGTGGACCCTTCTGTTTGCATTTTACAGAGAATACCAAGCAAGACTAAAAGGATCTACTGCACTTATGAGAGACTGATGGTAAGCCGTCTTCTCATCTCAAAGGCGCTTTATTCTTAACAGTTTTTTTCCCTTGTAGTAAAAGTAGCTTTTCTCCTGCTAAATGAGTGTCTGAGATTGACATTGCTGCATTCTCTGGATGTGTTAGGATCCTTCTCGAAACCACAGGGCCTACAGACTGGCTGTAGCTAAACTCAGTCCTCCGTACACCCCCTTCATGCCTCTGCTGCTGAAAGGTGATTAACACCAGCCGCCAGGCTGTCATTAATCCAAACATATGCTTTACTAAACCGCATGGAACATGATTGCATCTTGTTAATGCCTAGACATGACCTTCATCCATGAGGGAAACCCAAACTACACAGACAAGCTGGTCAACTTTGAGAAAATGGTTTGTTGTTTATTTGCCACTTAACATTCACACCATTTCCTGCCATCATTTAAATAGGAGCGTGACTTTGAAAATGTCCTTTTTTGTTGCATCAGAGGATGCTTGCCAAGACTGTGAAAATTGTACGAGGATGCAGAAGCCAACCTTATGGTAAGCAAAAAAATGGTAAATGTGCTGTAATTAAATAGTCTAGAGTCCTAGACTCCCCTCAACAGTCATCCACCCACCCACCCACACACACACACACACACACACACACATTCACACGCTGGTGGTGATGAGCCACAGTGTACCCACAGCTGCCCTGGCTGCCCTGGCCTAAAACAGCTCTGTACTGCTGTTTCTCGTGACAAAATAACATGAGGTGATTAGTAAACTGCCTGCAGGAAATGGCTGCAGGCAGTGAAACAGTAAGGTAAACTTCAAGTTACCTTGTATGCTCCACAGAAACACAACTCAACTGAAAAATGTTGGTGTTTCTGGACATGTTGCTCAGTTTTATGGCTGGAAAATACACCTCACTGTCTGCAGGACATTGCTGCAGGCAGTGAAACAGAAAGCTAAAAACTCAGGAGCAACCAGTGACTACGCCCCCTAGCAAATCAGCGGCCAGAGTCACGATGCCAGCCCGACCTGGCCTTGCCAGGTACCTCAAGGGAGCAGGGACTAAAAATTGGGGAGAAAGTAGAGGGAAAATACCGAACTATGTATGCCCTTGGAAAAAGTGGCCGGGCCGAGCGGCATCGATCCGAGTTACTCTGTGCATTGTGTTCCTGGAAAATCACCTTTCCAGACAGAGATGGAGCTGCCATACACCTGACAACCACCAACAACCAAACCTGCAACCCTCTTGCATTTAACTCCTCTGACACTGTCACTCCAATAGTAAAATAAAGATTCTTGATTCAGATATGAGATGTTTAAATCCCGGACAAGCCCCCACTTTATTTTTTTCTTTATTTAACCAGGAAGGTACCATTGAGATTAAAAACTTAATTTTCAAGGGAGTCCTCCTGTCCAAGAGGCAGCAAAAGATGCAGTCACACTATTTCTCAGTTAGTTATATACAAAATTACAGAAGGCAGTTACAACACTGGGAATCCATATCAAGGTTGTACACGAGAGAAGGATGTGCAAATCAAAATAAAACAAATCCAACATGGCAGCATGCCTGTGGTGAGAGCGGGGAGAGGTTAACAATGAGCTTTCGGTATCCCTAAGGGTTCCATACTTCTACGTGTATAATAACAAGAAGGGGTGCAATTTCAGAATATCAAGGTTTGCTTCAGGGGTTCATGAAGGAGAGAGCAGGAGATCAACGGGAGCTCTGGTGTTTAAGAAGCAAAATCAGAAGGCTGTCCACGTCTGAGCTTTGAGTAAAGACAGAAAAAAGGAAAATTGGATAATACAGGACTTTCTTCAGCAGAGTTGCTGGGCTCAGTCTTATTGATAGGGTGAGGAGCTCGGCCATCTGAGAGGGACTCTGAGAAGCACCACCTGCTCCTCTACAACAAAAGGAGCAAGCTGAGGTGGTTCAGATGTTTGGCCAGGGAGCCCCGGATACTTCCTAGTGGAGGACCGCCGGGCATGTCCTTCCCAGAGAAGACCCTGCCCAGGACATGGTGGTTTGGCTTTCGACAGTCTTGGGTTACTTCTTAGGGCTACTTGTTTATGTCAACAGTTTCAGTCAACCATTAGTAGAGTACTTGGAGCTAAAAGGGCAACCACAAGGGGATTTGTAGAGGCCACTAGGTGAAAGAACAATTCTGAAATCAGACATGTGGATGGATATTAATGTTGTTTTCATTGTTTCCTCTGCAGTGCCTTCTTCTCCACAGAGAGGCCTGGCTGATCGCATATTTCTGGAGGGTCCTACCCGCCTGTCCACAAGTAAGCTGCATCTGCAGGCTGATTCACTGGTGGATCTTGTCAGGGCTCTGCCAGGGATTTAGGGCCCCATGAAAACATATCACATAGATTCTTTAATTAAAGTAAGAATAATACGTTTGGGCCTCATGTCAGTCAAGGCCCCATTACCGTTGTCCTGACTTAACCCCAGTCCCTGATCTAAGAGGAAATTCACTTCACTACATCCATTTTTTTTGTCATTAGTTCTGATTTCCCTTTGCCTAAGATGAGTGAAACATCCTCCTCTTTCCGTCCAGACTCAGAACACGCCTTCCCTCTGCGCACTCCCAGCAACGTCCGCCACTACATCCAAAATCTGAAGGTGATCGACAACCAGCGAAAGCTAACGCAGCTTTCAAGAAAAATGGAATGCTGAGATGTCTGCCTTCAGAATCAGAAAGACTGAAAAACTTCATTCTGAAGCGGAGAACAAGCTAGCAGGACGAAGTGAACCTTAACACTTGCCTGAGAGAGATGGGTCTCAGGTGACATGACGGAGACCTGCTGTAATTCACGGGTCGTGGACATTTATAGCGAGGGTTTCAGCTCTGAGAGTAAAAATGTGCAGCTTGACTAGTTAAGACCATTGGGACACTTTTATCCAATGTAACAATATGTACAAAGTATTGCTCTTGCTGGTGTTTTTTTTATATGGACACGTGCAACACATATGTGCCACAAATTTATATATTTTTTAGCTTTTTGCACACCAGAGTTTTCACTTTTAAAGTAATATATTGTATGCTAAGGTTGGCATCACTAACTGACATGCACATAATTTCATACTGTGTTTTCTAAATAAATTATTTTCACATTCAATACCAGAACGCAAAGAATTTTTACAAAGGGATTTGTTTTATTTAAAGTACAAACAATAGCAGGCAAAAAAAAATTACTTTTAAAGGAGCCATCATCCACCTAAACAGGTCTCCCCAATATGGGGTGAGAAATTTCACAACAAACCATTCCATCAGTTTCTCTCCTTTATCAAAAATATGTACAACATCTTCCTCTAAAGTCCCGGAGAGCAAAAGTGGGCTAAGACGTGTTTAAAAAACAAAAATAGAAGAAATTTACCAGTGCCTTTGCCTGATGGAGAACATTGTAAAAAAAAAAAAAAAAGATTTCTGTATAAATAATGAGTTGACATGTTCAGGAAAGAATTTCATGAAGAGAATGTGCGTGATAAAGGATTTGTGGACCATGTGAACATAAATCACCCTCTGATCAGTGGGTATTAAGGGAGTCGAGTAAATCAAAATTATGTGTAACACGTGTTTGGTGAAATGATCGTATCCGAACAGCTGTAACAACAGACAGAAACGATCAAACTGCGCCAGCGAGTCGGTGCTCAGCGTTAATCTGTGCCATAATGACGGTAGTTCAGGGTCCAGTGAAGTGAAGAGTACACGTGAAGTGGTGAAAATATCCTTTTAGGTGGGGAAAAGCGAGCTAACACCAAAAGCCACGAGCAATTCTGGTTTACCGCAACAGAATCAGACATAAAACGTCAAAACAAAAGAAAACTGTTAAAAAGGAAAGATTGAGTATAAATATTGCACTTCCAAACAACGTGTAGTTCCCAGTGCCTAGTTGTTTACCCTTTAGTAGGAGGTATTTCTGCTGTTAGCAACATGGAGCTGCAACCTCATTACATCAAGCTGCACAGGACTAGGCAAAGGTGAAGCCCACACACAGAAACAACTTCCTTAAATATAGCAGTCACACAATTGCATGAAGATGCATACACAAGCAAACTCACCAACATTTAGTATTTACACATAAGGCACGTGAGTAATCCTATGTACATGACAAAAGATACCAACACAAAGCATGTCATTGTTCAGTCCCTGTAGCCCTTTTTGGTTTGGGGTTGACATCAGCCACGTCTCATTCATATAACTCATATAAAACAATCAAAATACAGTATCTCATTCAGCCTTGTGCTGAAAAATTATCCGTCTGCCTTCAGCCGCCTGTCAGCGCTGCAATTCTGCTGATTGTCCCATCTTTGTAAGAGAACTTCATCATATCATCGTCAGCTTTGTGGTTTCTTCCTGCGCCTCACTTAATATGATTTCTTTAAGCCATGTCGGCGTGTTGCTATGAAAAGATTGTAAAAATCACTCGTTATAGCTTCCCATTGAAGGACTATGTTGGGAGAAATAGCTTTTACATCCAACATGTCTGATGAGCTAATGACAAAGCCAAGACTAAAGTGTATTGCTGCCATATTAAAACGGCTCCAGTTACTAAATGCCAGCAGCTCATGCACGTTATTCTGTAAGCTTAAATTCCTGCTGAATTTGATGCCTAAATGCATTGGAGGTTTTCATGCTGGCAATAAAAACACTGAATTCAATGAAAATAATGATGTAATGTCCAGAGCCGTGTCTAGGACTTTTAAAATGGGGTGGCCCATGTGGGGCACTTGTTTATGCATGGGTGGCACCAATGGTTATGCTCATTTATTTATTTACACAAATCGTTTATTTACTTTCTAGTGAATTTTTGAGTTTTACACTGCACAATGTCCATTTTTTTCTATTCATCTTCTACTTTTGTGGTGGTTAGCAAGTCACTTCTTGTTGCATTACTGCCACCAACTGGAGTTGAGTGGGACTCTAAATACTATGTATGTGAGTATGAAAAAATATTAAATAATATTACTACAGAAATGTTCTGTAGGCCTGGGCTAAAAAACAAGGTGAAAGGTGCATGCTACCACACACTATTTTGGAGTTTACAACCCAAGCCTTTTGTTGACAATGTAAAGTCAATTTAAACTGGAACTCAGTAGGGTGGCACCTGGGGTGGCCAATCAGATTCTAAGGGTGGCATGTGCTACCCCAGGCCACTCCCTGGACACGCCCCTGGTAATGTCAACTCGGCTTTGGTCTCGGCTGCCCTCAAACTACTTCTGTAGGTGCAAAAGCCATTTCTCTGAAAATAGGTCATCAAGGAAGGCACCTGCGACAGGTGGAATATTTTGTTTCTCAGCTAGCAAGGGCAGAAACATTATTTTAAACCCAAACCAAGCAGGAGCAAAGACAACAACATAATTCTGTGGAGAACACCACATTCCGACAGAGGTTTCACTGGTCTGCGTTGGTTCCAGTCCCAATCCCAGTAAACGGCACAGCGTTGGTAACTCTGAGAACAAGCACACAGGACTTCACACAAAGTCTTCAGTAGGAGTCTAACTCAAAGGAAGCTCAGTCAGTCTTTGGTGTCTCGGGAAAAATATCAGTAGATTTCCTTTGAGTGCAAAACACACACTGTCCACCAACCTGAGGCAGAAAGTCGTTATGTTCACAAACAGTTCATTACTTAAATACCCGCGTTTCCTGTATTTGGGTTGATGGTGGAGATCATCCCAGCGTGCATCGGACACAATTTGGGACTTTGAGTCTAAAAGGTGGGATTCCTATGTTTACTACTTTGCTATTGTATCACTTTGAATTTCTGCCTCTAGAAGGATCATTTCTCACCTGAAAACTGTAAACTAATCTTGTGATCAAGAAACAGAGAAACACCTTCAGGCCTCATCGGGAAGCAGGTTTTCCTCCCAGAGGCCACAAACACACCGAATCCCGTCAAAGGCAGTGAACCCTTCAGATCTGTAGCACCAGTAAAAGTCAGTTAAAAGGGCATTACGGAGTTCTCCATCACAATCATCAGTAAAATTAAACCCACTGAGATGCTACAAGTACAGGCTGATGGTCACCTGTGTGCATTCTGCGGTCACCTTTATGTAAAGTCTAATAAAGTCTTTAGGCGTGGAGATAAAAAAAAACGTGAAAACAATCCCAACCTGATAAAAAATAAAATCATAAATTAAATAAAACATTCATTTGGCTTGGAGATCTTTGGGTTTTTGTCCTCTTCTAGTGCAGCGCAGTGGAGCTCTAGTGGTCTCTCGTCTACACAAGTCTTCACCTGCTCTTTGATCGTGTTCCTTCATGCTTCTCCATTGCAATCCCATGGCTAGACATTGTGGGTTTTTTGGGAATCTCGACGCTACTTAAGCTTCCGAGGCAGCCTGTGGTTTAAGTTGAGCTTTCTCCATGGCGGTACCGTATGGCACCGATCGCTTGAAGAAGCCAAGCTGCAAAGAAAAAAAGAAACGCAATTTATAAACGCAGACATCAGATCTGACGTTTTCTTTTTAAAAACATCTGATTAGCTTTGCTATTTAGGTCGATGCAGAGTTTAAACACTGACCCTGTAGAGGACATAGATTAGAAGCGCCAGAAGCAGTAAACCAGCCAGAATGGCTAAGATGATGATCCAGAGGGGAACAGAGTTCTCTATGTCCGGCTTGTTCCACACCACTGGAGTCACCACCTGAGGAGGAAGGACAGTTCCTGAACATGAAGCGGACCTGACGGAGATAACAGCCTACAGTATGAATGCACATTCTGGTTTAATACCTTTTTGTGCCCACTCGGAGAGTGTTTAGGCAGTATGGCATACGGCATCTTCTTCACACTGTATGTGGCGAGACATTCCAGTACATACTGCTTGTTGGATCTCTGAAGATACAAGAGAAGTCATATTTAGGCTGACAAGCAAGGCTGTAGCAAAATGTTAGAGGAAGACATAAACATTAATTATCGCCGTTTATTTCTGATGACTTTTTGAATAAACTCTCAAACGCTCAGAGAGTCAGATGAATTACAATTATTTACTAAATCTATCTTTTAGGATCACCCCCTGGCACTGATACGCAGAGATTAATCAGGATTGGTGACTGATGGTGAGTGCACCGGCAGCACAGTGACTTGGGGGATGGTCTGGTGTCAGGAAGCCACTTCTTTCCAAGAAAAACATCTGAGACAGACTTATATTCTGCTTAAAGTTTAGGGATTGGATTGGTGTGGACTGGAGAAAAGTTATTTTCCCCTGATGAATCATGTTCCTGGTTGTTAGGAATATAGGACTGGAGGAGAGCAATCGGTGAGCTCTTCCATCAGTCCTGTGAAACATCCTGAGATCATTCATGTATGTGTGTGGGGGTGCTTCTCAGCCAAGGGAGTGGACTCACTCACAGTTTAGCCTCAGAACAGCCATGAATAAATGGTAAATGGCCTGTATTTGATATAGCGCCTTCTAGAGTCCTGGAACCCCCCAAGGCGCTTTACAACACAATCAGTCATTCACCCATTCACACACACATTCACACACTGGTGGGGATGAGCTACAATGTAGCCACAGCTGCCCTGGGGCGCACTGACAGAGGCGAGGCTGCCGAGCACTGGCGCCACCGGTCCCTCCGACCACCACCAGCAGGCAACGTGGGTTAAGTGTCTTGCCCAAGGACACAACGACAGCGACAGACTGAGCGGGGCTCGAACCTGCAACCTTCCGATTACGGGGCGAGCACTTAACTCCTGTGCCACCGTCGCCCCGAATAAAGAAAGGTACCTAAACATTCTCCCAGAGGAACTCCTCCGACAACAGTTAGGTGATGAGCAGTGTCTTCTGGAGCACTGGGCCAGAAGGAGAAAGTCAGAGCTAAGTGGCTTAAGGAGCAAACAGTTATGGGTCCATGGCCAGGAAACTCTTCAGACCCAAACAACAACCCAACAAACTCAATTCACTGGTTTATGTGAAAACGGGTGCCACCAGTCAGGATTTAGACGATGACGGATCCGGGTGAACTGCAGAGGTCTTGAAAAGAAAACACCAACAACATTGACTCCTTGCATGAATGTAATGTAGTTTTTAATACAACCACTGAAACCTTTTAATTGTTTGTGTCTTAAATACTTGTGCCATTCCCAAAACTTCTGGCTGTTGCTGTAATTACAGTAAATCAACACAAGGTGGTGACACAGACCATCTGTGCATCCACACATTCCAATCCTGTGAGTGTTCGGGACTGCCAGATAATGAATTTCCAATACATCACACATGTTCCATGTTGCAATACGTAGGAGGTGGGAAACAATTATAGTAGCTCAGACACGGCAGGACAGAAATGCACCATGACGAGGCCTGCACATCGATGTGGGGGTAATGTCAGTGGCGGCTGATTCAGAGCCACTGCTGAAGCCAAGAAAACATCAAACAAACGTGAGACTGCCTACTGCAGCCAGTTGCCTTTGTTTGCATTCGGGGTTTAAACTCTCGTTTTCTTTCTGATGCTTTAAAGAAAACGGTTTCGTAGTCCCTGCTAAAGCCTGACATGTGGGAAGAGACTAATCCAGAGTGTGCAGCGTTTTCCTCCGCTGAAAACCCAAGTTCGTGTTCGGTGCCCCGTTTGAATGGCAAGGTTCTTCTCCCACTAACCTCAGTGAAGGTCTTGGCCCAGATGCGGGAGCGCACTTTGAGGATAGCGGTTGTTCCTTTCTCCAGCAGACCTACGTTGCATTGGATTGCCCAGCACTCCACGTTGGAGCATGACTACGGAAACAAACAGACGAGACATAAACAGACTTCTGATGACCTGGTAAACAGATAAAACGAAAACTTGACACGTTAGGACCCTTAACGATCATCTAATGCTGCATAAATGTAACAAAGAGCCCAATTTTATTATCCCTATACTACGCCTGCTTCGAATTAGACTGAAGGAATGTCATGAGACTGTAAAAATGTGGCGTGTACCACTTGCCACATTATTGCCCAACCACTAAAACCAGCCCATTTTTCTCAAGGCTGTATAATAGGCAATCTTAATTAAATCCCCATAATGCAACTTTATTGTTTCAAAACATACACACTCTGCCCTTCCGAGCTGCTGCTGCTGCTGCTGCAGCTCGACCACCCCAGGACTGAGGGGTTTTGTTGGGTTTCCTGCGGGAGAGTATTAGTTTACTTATTACATCAAGAAGGAAAACAGAAGAGGAGACAGGAGAACCCACCCAGTTCCTTTAGGCTCAGACTTAAACCGACTTAAGAGTAATGAGACAGTCTGATTCCACCTCCTGGTATGGTCTACATGATGTAGGTCTGAGAAAATTACATGAGTAGTTGAGATCCAAAAATTCCCCAGATCCACAACTCACAAATCCAGTCTGATGGAATTATGTGTGCAACTTTCTGGCTGTTCCCACAATTTACTAGAATAACATTATGTCCCGGCAGCAGCACCGCTGTAAGCAGGGAGCGTGTTCAGGCTGAAACGTCATAGAAGTACGCTAAATTCATCCTGAAAACATCGTCAACATTCAAACCCGGCTCTGACAAGCCATTCCCTTATTATCCCATATCCATTTGGGTTTCAGGAAACGCTACGTGTTATTTTACACACTACCTTGGCTGCAAGGAGATGAATAAATGACTCTGAAAACATTTGCTTTGGGTCCAAGCTTTGCGGTACACAAACAGTTTAATAACAAGTATGGGAAAGGAACATTAGTCTTGTGTTTGTTGCAGTCGTGTTTTAAAACTGTAAAAAAAAAAGGCTTCAAAGGCAAAACAAAAGAGAGTAGTGGACAAAATAAGTGCACGTTCTCAGAAATGGAACCTGTTAAAATGTTCTCGCATATCTATGGACAAACACAGGAAGGAGCGTTACTCTTCATGCTGCTGATAGTCCGTAACTTTCTCTTTGCACACTTTTATTTTGACAGAAATCTATGAAATTATCCTGGTGTTTCGTTGCTAGCATAGCCTACTATGGAAAGTCGTGAGTAGTTTATTTTTCTGTACGCGGGTGTCATCCAATTCAAATAGTTTTCCCAGCTGGATCTGTCATGACTCCCATCCTTCACCCTCCTCTGCCTCCTCATTTAACCTTCATTCAGCTCACCTGGTCCCTTCACCAAGCTCCTGACAAGCCCTGTTTCCCCTGGCAACCACAATCAACTCCATTCTTCTCACCTGTTCCTGTCATCAGCTTCATCCACTTCACCTGCTCCTGACTCCTCAGCTCATGTCACACACCTGCTTCCCCTGCTATAAAAGATCCATTCAGCTACCCAGTCATTGCCAGATTATTGAAAGCCGTTGCCAGTAAATTCTCCAGCCATCCACCCTGCCGGATTTCTGCCTCCGGACCTCGTTTTTCTCCTGACCCCTGCCTTCCTTTACGACCCTCGCCTGTCTTCTGCCACGTCTCCAGCCTGCTCCCTGTACCTGCTTGCACCTATCTGGTTTTGACTCACGCCTGCCCTCCGACTCGGTCTCCAGCCTCATCCACCTGGTAACTCTGCAGCAAATAAAAGACGTTTTCATCTGCTTTTCTGTGTTTGGCGTCTTCACGGGTCTTCTGAGTTCTGCTCGTGACAGGATCGACAACATTTCCAAATGTCCAAGCCCAACGTCGTGTGTGTGCAAAATCTGCATTCTGGTCGCCACGGAGTTTGTTCCCAAAAGGAAGAAACATTTTGTTGGGTTGATTAATTATTTTTGTTGTAGCCGATAATCGAGCAATATATCAGTCAGCTGATGTAGTGAGCAACATTGGCCAGACAAAAATAAATAAATACACATGATCCGTCATTTTGAGACCTTCAAAGGGAACGCCAACAGGCTGTAACATGTTCATTGGTATAAGACTATCAGAGCTAAACGATTTTCACCCTGTTGAACTTTTAAAGGTAGTTTTTTTTATACTTTATGTAACTTCTCACATTTACTCCATGTCCTCCATGGACAAATGGAACCAAACACTGAAGCATGTGGACTTAAATGACTTTTACTAAAAGTCTGAAAAGTAAAAGTGCAGATTCAGCAAGAATAGGAGAACGATTTGATTCGTAGTTTAGTGTCACTAAACCTGCTTGATCACACATTGACAGAGGTTAAAGACCTCCGCAGATAGAATGATTAACAATTGGGGGGGGGGGGGGGGGATAGGACCAGTGTGCGTGGCTGACTTTAAACACCCTGCACCCATTCATCTACACCAGCTTGCTCTTGATGGGGATCATAGGGTGCTGGTGTCTGGTGGGGGTCGACCTTGACCTGATCACTTCATCAAAGGGCTGCACTGAGATAGAAGTGCTAATGAAGAGTCACCAGCTAACCTAACAGACATATTTTAGGTTTGTAGAAGGAAACTGGACGCAAACATGCATGCGCTGCAAGAACATGGAATGTTCCTGCAGAAAGAATCCAAGTGGGGGTTGAAAACAGGACGGCATTGTGAGACAGAATTAACTGTACCACTGTGTAACGATGTGTGTGAATCAAGCAGGCAACAGTACATCCCCTACACCCCTCCCTGTTTTTGCCCCGCTGCTCATGAAGAGCTTTTAATGTTAAGTGGCACACAATGACCAGGCTGTGCCCTTTGACCTCTTCATTTTAATGAGATTACCACAGTCTAATGGATGGTGTCGCCTAATAGATCTAGGTTCATGCACTTAATACTACTTAGGTGACTTTTCTGAAAGGAACTGAACAAAATATTCCAAAAAATGCAAACTCCTTCTTTTTAAGTGATATGTTTTGTTGACGTTCGTCACCTCCAGGAAGTTCCCTTACCAGATTTGTCAAATGGGCGAGTTGGTTCTTATGAAGATCCCTCCTCTCAACGTGGTGCTCGTGGGCCTTCAGTGCCAGGATGGGAGACTCGGTGGATGTGCGCTGGAGCTAAACGAGAAAGACGAACCACCCATTAGAACAACACGGTGCTCTCTGTCGATAAGAGACCTGATGTTAGCATGACCCTGACGTTTCTCCTCATTAATCAGTAGCATGTGAGTCCTCCTCCTCCTTTCCCGTGGAAACTCACCGGCAGCTCACGAGGGAAAATAAAACATTAGGTCACACAGCTAAGACGTATGACCCGTCACGGCCCTGCTCAACATCTGTTAAGCTTCACATGTAAACAAAAACAACTGCATGGAAATGTCTTTGCCCAAAGAATCCAACGGCTCCCGCTCGGTATAAAAGGGTGTTGCTGCCTGTTGAAGATGAGCGAGTGTGGCGTTGGGTGAGGTGGTTCTTCAAGCTGTGCTGAACATAGGGAAGAGCTGTGACTTCAAAGCCGTGGTGGAGTAAGTGTCCCGGGTGGGGCTGGGAAGCTGGAAGGAGGAGGTGGATGTGGGCAAAACACTGGGACCGGGCTGGAAAACTATCTCTAATTTCACTTTATGCAACCCCAGGGGTGTACGCGTGTGCACGTGCTTGTGTGTGCGTGTGCGTGTGTGTGTGTGGATGAGGGATACTCACTTTTAGGTTCAGGTGGTTCATGTGTCTGTCTGCAGTGCAGTTGATGGAGCCTTCGGTGGAGAACTCCAGAGGATAAAGGAGGGTACGACTCTGGATGAGGAGAGGGCAGCGCAGCTCCAGTGAGGTGGAGCTGATCTGACTGGGACCATTGTTAACGAGCTGCAGGAAGAAACAGGTGAACAGGTTTCTTTGGTTTCTTTTTTGCTTCTCTGAGGATTTTTTTCTTCTTTTCCTTTTATATGAATGAACAGGAGGATCAAGCCCCCTCTGCTCCGCCCTGATGAGTATGCACAGATAAGAGTGTGGCTGATTACCTCATAAATGTGCTCCACAGCAGGCCCCACGTCCTGTTCCACCCCATAGTTTTTGGGAACTTTCCAGTTGGCCGGTGGAAAGAAGACCTTATCTGGTCGGGACACACTTGAAAAAGAAAGGAGGGCTATGAGGACGTGAATAAGGAGGCACTGGAAACTTAATGAATTCCCAAAAAGTTCTGAATAACGACTGCTAACACTCATCTCACCCCTGGAGGATGACATCAGCCTGAACGACCACATCCAGCTTGTGGGACACAACTTCACTATGAGAATTATTCTCATTTTTACTGTGGAATCAGAATACAGATTACAATTACAGTAGTTAGCAAAAACCGCTGTTGCAAGTGATGCTCGGGATGTACCTGCGTATCTGCACATCAAACTGGACAGTTTTATGTGTGTCCTTCAGCCGTGGCACGGTGAAACGCAGGCCTGCCCATAGCTGTGGAGATGAAACAGAGACTTCCTGTTACAACTTTTCCTGCACATGCAGATCTTTTCTGTGCCATCCCACCGTAACTCAGTTTATCCAGCAAACGCAACTGAATCCTACTTTTAAAAACACAAATGAGGAAAAAGGGTTAAAGGTGTGGAACACTCGTTTCATCAAATCATTTTCAGTGGTCTCTGGTAGGGATGTGAATCCCCACCACTTAGGTTGATTTGATTCATATCTCGATACGTTACCCGCGATGTGATGCTTTAACGATACGGTGAAACCTTCTGCCGACATGATTCGATACGATTCATCCCTTCTTATGATTCAATAATGATTTGCAAACTCGTCACAATTGTTTTTTCCTCTCTTTCTCTGTGACGATGTCATGGTCTGTGTCTCTTTGTGTTCCTCATTTGTCCCCTGGTCTTCAGCCTTCCAGATAGATCTCTCAGGTCCTGTGTTCCTTTAGTCTTCTCCAGTCACCCCTCTGTAGCCAGCCATCCCTCTGCAGTGTTTGTAGTTTCAGCTTTTCATTTTATTAGTCTCTTTAGTATGTTTTGTCCCACCGGTCTTTGTAGTTCTCCTTCCCTTTAGAATATTGGTTATGTGGCTGCTTTTCTTGTTTTTAGGTTTTTTCTTTGGTCATGTGAGTTCCCTCCCTGATTAAGTATTGCTTTCACCTGGACCTCTCCCCACACACCTGCAGCTCATCTGCCTCCCATCATGCCCCAGTGTATTTAAGCCCTCTCTTGTTGGTCCATTGTTTGTATGTCAGCGTTTTCTGATGCTCTGTGTGAGCTTTGTGTCTCGTCCCAGTTTTGTGCTCTAGGTGAGCTTTTGTTCTTCTGGTTTTGGATTTTTGGCTCCCTGCCTTCGGATTTATTTTTGTTTCATCCTACAATTAAAAGGATTTATTCATATATCAACTCCTGCCTCGTGTCATCCTGGATATCTGCATTTTTGGGTCCTAACCACCCCCATAACGTGACAGACGGATGCATTTGATCCTCTATGGTTTTAGATTTATCAATAAATTCAACATGAAAAGACATTGCACTTCATCAGTTGTATTTACATAATATACATATTTTTATTGCTACAATATTCTGTTAAAATAGGAGGGTTATAAAGATGGTCACTCTGCTCAGAAAAATAAACCAGCAGACTCAGAAAATGATTACAGTTTATCATATAACTATTAGGAATTATTATGAAACAATATTTTTTAAATATCCCAGTGATCCTTAAGAATCTATTGTGAGAGCTGCTGTAACCTAAAGTTACTGTTCATTTGAAGGGAGACTAGGCAGTTTTGGCTTGCTTTTAGCACCCGTTGTGTTCGTTTGTAGAAGCAAAACCTCTCTCGTCGCCATGCGTTCGTCGTTTTAGCATCTTAATCTAACAGCTGTGTTATTTGCAGAGAAAGGTGTGTTTATCTCTGCTGCTTTTTGGACTTCTCTGAACTACTGTTAAGGGCAAAATGTCCTTCTGTCTGGAGTTTTTTTTTAGTTCTGCACAATTGTTACAATAATAAGCAAATATCGTAAAATGCCTCTTACAAAGCTTCGGTATTAGATCAATAAGAATGATCAGAAGAATATGCTGCTGCAGAAACCAGACACCTTGTCACGGATTTGTTTTCAGGAACTTTATTTTATTTTGGCAAGTTAAGAGAGGAATATTGTCGCACTGCGGCTGCGCACCACCTGGTTTCCGCTGGAAGAGATTGATGAGATGTTCAATGCACCTCAAAAAACAAAGATAAAGCTGGTAAACTATGAAGTCATCAATTTAACCATGGCTTTTACTGATGAGAGGCGTGCATGGAAACATACATTGTGATATAGTCATCCGTTCTATACGATGCACACTGAAGCTACCCGTGCAATCGCATCGCAAATGTTATGAACGAACCACCGGTTCAGATCAGGGAGTCTCTCCATCCCTAGTCTCTAGTAGGAATGAATGCCTTGCAAGTTATACTCTGAGTAAGAAAAAAGCCGGTGCACCAGCTGCAGGAACTAGAAGTGAGCCACATCACAGCTGAGCTTCAGGTGGCAAGATTCAGAGGTGTATATCCTGATATTGGACATCTTGTCTTGGACTAGATAATAGCAAGGCGGTTCGACCACTGACTCTGTTTGCTCTGCAACGTTGATGTTTAATTTCCACATATAACACAAGCCTGGAGGAGTTCTGCTGTGTGGTGGAGCTAATGGTTAGCTTACATTAGCTTAGAGGTTCTCTTTTCTTTCCTGGATGCTAAACCAACAACAGCCTTCCCCATCTCGAGTCAAGATGGATGAATCCATGAATGTTAAGTGACAGTGTGACGTAGATCTTTCAGGCTTTTCCAGTTTTATTAGAAGCTAATGCAGGAGATATATGTAGGAGACTTTTTTCATGTTCAGCCTGCATGAAACACTCAGAATAACCATTTATAATCAGAATTAATCACTAAAGAATGGGTTTTTTATGTTCCACATCTTTAAACAATGATCTTACATTGGTTCCAGCCTTCATCGGGTTGCCCAGATCACAGCTGAGGAAGCGGGTCTGGTTCTCTGTATCATAACTGCAGGTAAGCTGGGTTAAGCTCTAAAATAAAAGAGGACAGATTGATGCATTAGTTGCAGAAACTTTACAGATTATCTGTGTTTTCTGGTGTTTTCCTCTCACCTTATTTCGGGCGATCCCGCTGTAATCGGCTTCAGGGGGCATCACCACGTACAGGTCAGCCTCGTACGCTCCTCCCTCTCCTTCATTCCTGGCGTTGAAAGTCAAGGTCAATGAGTTGTCATCGCCGAGGTAGACTTCTTTTATGTCACTGTGGGACCAATCAAGGACAAATGAAGGTTAAATGGAATTAAAGTGACCTAGATTTGTGATCAGCATGATTATCCTGGTTAGAAATCAGATCTTCCCACGTCTCACTTTCTTCAGCTCCCAAAACTGCCGCGTAGAACCACAGCCTTCATAATCGTTTTATTCACTGGCTTTTCTGGTGGTTGCATTAACATCTTATCCTCTAACTGGTTTTAAACCAAACACCAGCTCAGAACAAAAAACACCACAAACCCTACAACACCTCCCTGAGGGACCCTCCCTCGCTCTTACAGGTTATGTTATTTGGCTGCAGAATCCAACTCTATAGAAGTGATCATTATTTCCACAAATTCCACTAAAACGTTTTCGTCCTGTCAGCGCCTCCTACCACCATAAAGCTCCTGTGATTTAGTACAAAACTAAAATTAAAATGATGTTAATATCTTTCTCTACGTCTATCAGCGGGCCGATTATGAGACCAATCAACCATACGTTTTTTTAAAAAGGGAGGCAGATGTTAGATAAATATAGGAATGTGAAATCAAAATGACAGAGCAGAGAAGGGAGTATCAGGGAGGTTGTTATGTTCGAGAAAACTGCTAACAGATTTCTTGAATCAAAGCGTGGCAGCCCGGGTCCTCCTGATGGTTTTAGAGGCAAACAGCTATCCAAACAAGGTCCTTGTCTTCTAAGTATTTGTTAAAGGAACAACAGCGCTGCATACTGGTTTTATTAGATGGCGTGGCACTCTCTCTGTTAAAACTAAGCATGCATCAGAACAACAAAAACAGCTGGAATTGTGCTTCAGCACACAGACAGGTTCAGTTTGAGCTGAAAGGACGAGGTGGAGGAACTCCGCGACCTTGTTCAGAGTTTACCGCCTACATTTCAATAAATTCTGCTGAACTTCCTGAAATCCACATGCTCAGGGATGTTTCAGACCTGTGCGAGAATGTGAACAGACTCACCTATAAACCGCCAGCTTCAGGTCAGGAACACAGATGTTGTTCTCGCAGTCCAACAGAATCTGAGCCTGGAAGACGCACAGAGGGATGATAAAGTTTTAATACAGGAGCTGCTGAGCGTCTTGATCACTCTGATTAAAAATAACTCACATGTAAGAAGAACACTACACCTGTTAAAAGAATACAGCGTGATTTGTGTGACAAGATTCAGCATGCAGCAGGACTAACACATTCCTCCCCTGAGTCCCGACCACCATCACACTTACACACACACACACACACACACCTGGATGCCAGCCCTTCAGACAATACCAGCTAAATGATGTCACTACAAACACAGACAGTCCTGTGAATCAGCTGCTGTGGCACAAACATGATCTCTGTTTTGTTTTGGGGTGTTTTTCTGTTTGTGTTTTTTTCATAACCAAATCAATACAACATGCTTTCATATCAAAATTATTCTCATAACACATCTGTAACGGAACGGAATGACTGTTTTTTTCCTTCTTTGCTCAAGACTAGTCTGCATGAGATATAGTCTCAAGGTCTCATGCATTCCTTCTAACTTGCTTATTTTCAGCTCAACAGAATGAAGAATGAACTCTTTTCTTTGAATTAATCAAAGAACTCTATTTTAATAACGCTAATCCATCTAAGTGTTAGTCAATAAGTCAGATGTGACCGACCTGTGAAATCAAAATATTAATTACCTTATTATAATCCTATAGAATATAAAGGTGCTGTGACTTTAAGTGTTCCAACAGGACTCATTTCACGTAGCGTTAAAAAGACATAGCACATTACTTTCACTGATCCAATCAGAGTCTTACAGATCTGACGGAGGCGTGGTTCTGATGGTGTTTGGTAATTTTTCATTCGACAATAAACCAAAGCATCCGAAGAATAAAACTACGCCACGTCAGCTCTAACGCCAGTTCAAAGCATTCCAGAGAAAGTGACGGAGTGGCCAATCCTGATCTAAACTCTTTAACCGAAAGAACAACAACAAGCTGAAAAATTTGTTGCTATACCAACTGCGGCAACAGTTCCTTTCAGAACAAAAGCTGAACCATCAAGACCCAGGCTTGGGTCTCACCAGACGCCAACAAGCTGTGGTGTAGCCGGAAGTAACTCAGACTGGACTGGTCGGTACCGCTGCTTTTCGTACCGGCTCGGTTCCAGAGAGGGTCAAGCTAAGACCTCGACATTCCGGATCTAAAGAGGACTTCCTGAAGGGTAGGTAGACCGGCAAATTGTGTCTCATGCGTTTATTAAGCTCCGAACCAAAGCTTAATGCGAAGACATAACCTTCAATTCCCATCAGAACTAATCGCTTCTTCGGATTTGCTGGCTCTGATTGACATCACACGTCATCCATTCACCGACTCATCCATTTTAGTTACACCATCCATTTAGTTTTAAAGTCAGTCTAGTTTAATTTGGTAGTAATAAAATTCTTAACTTTTAAACTTGACTCTCTCTCTTCTGTTGCCTCTGAGTGAATACGAAGCGGTTATCTAATCCCTGCAATAAAAAGATCCAATCTTCTGGTTTAAATAACTCACAGATCCGTAAGGTGGGTTTCATATTTCCTCCAGAATCTGCAGATATTGAGTGGAATCCATGCGTCCCTCAGCTTCAACAAGATTCCCAGTCCCTGCACTTGCCACACAGCCCCACAGCATGATGGAACCACCACCACGCTTTCATGTTGGTAGCAGGTGTTTTTCTAGGAATGCTGTGTTCTTTTCATCTATGCTTAATGCCCCTTGTTATAAAGTCAATTTTAATTTCATTTCAGTCCACAGCACCTTACTAATGATGCTGGCTTGTCCAAATGTACTTTGGTACACCTCAAGCAGCTCTGTTTGTGCTGTGGACAGAGAAAAGGCTTCCTCTGCCTCATTCTCACATACAGCATCTCCTTGTGTAAAGTGTGCGGAATCATTGAACAATGCACAGTGACTCCATCTGCAGAAAGACAATGTTGTAGGTCTTTGGTACTGGTCTGTGGATTGACTCTGACTGTTCTCACCATTCTTCACTTTTGTTTATTCGAGAATTTTTTGGTCCGCCACTTCAAGACTTAAATTGAACTGTGCCTGAGATGCCATAACCATTTCCTCAATATGTTCCTAACTGTGGAAACAGGCAGCTGAAATCTCTGAAACAGCTTTCTGTATCCTTTCCCTAAACCATGATGGTGAACAATCTTTGTTTTCGGGTCATTTAAGAGTTGTTTTGAGACCCCCATGTTGCTACTCTTCAGAAAGTATTCAAAGAGGAGAAAAACTTACAATTGGCCAACTTAAATAACCCTAACCCTAACCCAGATGAGAGCTCAGGTCAAAGCTGCCAGCTCTCACCCACGTGTTCCACATCACAACGCCGTGTGGCGAACCACACTTTCACCACACACTTCACCAGCCTGCCAACCACAGCTGTACATGATCATAAGGAGAGGGAGGAGGCAGAGGTCTGAGACATCTCTGTTGAATGGAAAACAGGCGCGAGGGATCAGAGATTAAAGTTGATGGGGAGACAACAAAAATGAAGACGCACCGCCAGGGCGATCAAATTACCACTGAACGTGTGGTAGAGCAGTGGCGGGATCGCATCTCATTGAGACCGAGTGTGATGATGCACGTGATGATAAGGATAATAAATAGAAAGAGGAGGGAATGATTACAGAGAGTAAATTGCCATCTTTGTTATTACACCATCAAGGGGCTTTAATTATGAGCACCAAGGTAACCACTATGCTAACTTCGCCACATGAACATGCAGAAATGTGTGTGTGCGTGCGTGCGTGCGTGCGTGTGTGTGTGTGTGTAACACAAGAAAACATTGTGACATCAGCATGTGATATAAGCTGCACAGGAAGACCATGGCTCTCCATCGGCTAAATGAATGGAGTCCATTTATCAGAGTCACTCTCACTGGGTCAGATGATATTTTAAGAACAGAGAGGGCATTGATATGCAGGCTTTACTTTTAGCAGGTTACAGAAACAATATCTGAACAGTAATGTAAATTAATAGATCCCTCACAAGAAACATGTGGATAACGTTAAGATGAGAGAGAAACTGCTCGAAGAGAACTTGGCCCGGCCGGCGAGACCTTGCACAGCCTGACACGCGTACCCAAAGCACATGTGGAAATCAATAAAGTGTCATGTGTCCGACCTGATCCAAGGCTGCGGTAGAACGGTCACTCCTCACTATTTACACAAAGCTGCACTCACACAATATGAAGCAAGACTGATGTAATAAGTTGGCAGTCGCCTTTTTCACACACATTTACACACAGATCAGGTTTGCTCTCTTTGGAGAAAAAAGTTTTTGGTTTTTTTTGACAGTTTGAGGATTGATGTTGCAGCTAAAGCTTGACTCAAAGCTTCGGCTCAGCAACAAACCACATCTGTTGGAGGCCAAATTACTTTGATATCTAGAAGAGACATCAGCGAGAGAGACCAACAGGAAGAGGTCTGAAATATACCAGAGAAGAGAGGCTAAAGGAGCACAAACTACACTGATTGAAATGTTTCAATCTGATAGGCGTTACACATGTGGTGGCCACCACTTGTTTAAACAGCTCTGAAAGCTAGAAGGAAAACAACTAAACAAGTCAGGGTCTTACGAAATTTATAGAGTTTTTTGTTTTACTTCAGTGTTGGACAATATTCGTGCGTAAGTTCAGATATATTCAGTAAATTCTGTACATTTACCTGGACTGTTTTTGGAAATGGGTCAGGCTTTTATATTACCCATGCACCAGAAGACACAAAAGAGAAAGCAGAGAATAATGCTTCTGAAAAGTCAAATCTAACATTTTAAACAACTTGCCAAGCCAACTTTATTTGTATAGCAGCTTACAACTGTATAAAACCTTAGGTTTCAACAAAGGGGACAGCGGACCAAAGTCAACCGCACAAGGTCGACCCTTGATGAAGCACTAGGACAAAAAAAAAACACAACCTCTGTCTTCTTTTCATTAAAAACAAGGAAGTTCAAGAACATCCATTGTCTAACCTCACCAAGACATTCTGAGGGAGAATTCAGTGACTGTTGTTGACCTCTCTTAAAGGGTATGTATATGGGTGTCATCTGCATAGCAGTGGAAATTACACCCATGTTTCCTGAAAGTCAGACCCAAAGGTAACAGATACAACAAAATCAACAATGGTCCTAATACAGATCCCTGTGGAACCCCACAAGTGAATAAGGCTTTAGAAGAAGTGAAATCACCCAATGAGACACTGAAGGATCCAGTGTTGTGCCCAAATGCGTTCATTGAACGATCGTTCGTGAATTAATTCATTTTTTTCGTGAACGTGAACTGAACTAGTTCATATTTTGCCTGACGAGCGTAAAAGTTTGCCCTGGCGTGTGTGAACGGGTTTATGAATGCGTTCTTTCACCGTTCTAGCTCTACTGAGCTTTTCCAGAGCCAATGCCTAGCTAAAACTTTCTGTTAACCTTTGTTTATAAAAAGTAGACCCCGCAAATGCGGCCAAACATAGGCAGCAGCGGTTGGTGCAGCGTCTACTCTTCTACATCTATGCTGTGTGCAGGAGTCAAAGTTCATTCAAAAAAATTGAAAAGGGACTTAAGTGAAAGATTATAAAAAAATTTTAGGTTTTGCACTTTTAATATTGCACTTTGAGTTTGCTAACTCAGCCTGCACCCTAAGATTGTTTAATAATTTCCCATTAAAAAAAAGTTCAAATAATGTTTTCCTCATGTTGACGATGTACTGTAGGGTAAAAACTGCAGCTGGCTATGAGTGTGGACTGAACCAGTGCCAACTATTGGAAAATTATTTCATAACTCATATATATATATGAGTCACATATATATATATATATATATATATATATATATATATATATATATATATATATATATATATATATATAAGTCACATATATATAGACATATATATACATATATATATATAAGTCATATATATATATATATATATATATATATATATATATATATATATATATATGACTTATATATATATATGACTTATATATATATGTATATATATATGTATATATATATACAAATGTATATAATTATATATATACATATGTATGTATGTATGTATGTATGTATGTATGTATATATATATATATATATATATATATATATACATACATACATACATACATACATACATATGTATATATATAATTATATACATACATATATATATATATATATTATATATATGTATATATATATATACGTATGTATATAATTATATATATACATATGTATGTATGTATGTATGTATGTATGTATGTATGTATATATATATATATATATATATATATATATATATATATATATATATATATATATATATATATATATATATATGTGTGTATGTAAAGGAGAAAAAAGAACTATGAACAAGTTCATTTTTGGAATAGTGAACTTAGTTCAAAATTTTTTAAATTATGAACTAAGAAACGAACTAGTTTGTTTTAAAATGTATGAACTGAACTTTGAACTAGTTCGTTTTTTAAACGAACTTTCCCAACACTGGAAGGACCTTTCTTCCAGGTAAAACTCAAACCAGTCCATAGTGATTCTACCCACAAAATGTTGTAGCCCAGAGATCAGAAGATTATGGTCCATGCTGTCAAATGCAGCCGATAACTCCAAAGCCTAATTTCCACCACCCAAACTGGCATGAAACAGGCAGAATGAGCTCGCAAATATTTGTGTCCCGATTGTAAAACCAGTCCAGATAACTGACCCAGTCACGGGACTTTTTTGCCCCACTTCTGTTATAGGTCCAGAAATTTGTGGAGCAGCATGGTTAGGGTGGAGCAACAACACAGGTCACTGATTGGGGGACAGAAACAAGTAGCTCAGGAGGTAGAGCAGGTTGTTCAGTAATCGGAAGGCTGCAGGTTTGGCTTCCCACCAGAGAATGCTGCCATTGGAGGGACTGGTGGCACCAGTGTATGGTAGGCCTCGCCTCTGTCAGTGCGCCCAAGGGCAGCTGTGGTTACATAGCTCATCATCACCAGCATGTGAATGTGTGTGTGCATGGGTGGATGACTGCTTGTGTTCTGAAAGTGCCTTGGGGGATTGTAGAACCCTAAGAAGGTGCTATACAAATACAGGCCATTTATCATTTACTTGCAACAAGCAAAACAAACCAGGACTTCCATTGTTTGTAGTTTCATTAGTTGTACAAAAATGTCAGAAAATGCCAGCAAGTAGCAGCAAATTTTGGTCTGCCTCAGAGCTCCATACATTCCTCACTATCATTGTGAGACTTCTACTCTGGAGTAGCTAGACAGAGTGGTAACATCGGTTAGAAACGCACGTTTTAAAAGAAGTTTCTCTGTGGATGGCAGCCGAAGGATTCAAACGGGCATCAGGTCGGTGTCGGGCCAAGCTGAAAAAATGTAAGCCCAATGTAGAAAAGTTAAGGACAGAAACAGCCGGAGTGGAAATGGTAGAAATACATTGGATGCTATTTATATCCACAGACCGGCAAACCGAGTCAGACCTGGATTCAGAGACCACACTTTGGAGTCATGTGGAGCTTGTTGGCAAGTATTAATTTTTGCCTTTAGCTCTGCAGACCATTCTTTGCAGCAAAAAATACTGAATAGTTGCACAACTTTTCTAAAATGTCATGCATGAAGGTTCATTTAACCCTGCCTGCCAACATGAGAGTCCAAACTGCAATAGAAACCCTCGCTTGAAAACTGCAGACCAATACCAGACCACACCGCCGATGGTGACCCCCTCCGCACCGCACCAGACCCCAAGGTGGAAAAGAGATACAACAGTACTAGGATAACAAGGTCCCCGGTCTCCATTGCTGGAGATTTGGTATCAAATGTATGATTTCAATAAAAACAAGCGATTGCAATTAGGATTTTCTTAATTTTTGACTTTAAGCAGGAACCCTGGAAGTCTTTAGCCAGACAAGCTCAGAGCACGACTATAATCCTTCCTGAAACAATAACCTTTTCTTTAGAGGACTTCATCCATGCAGATGTTTACAGGAGACAAGGAGGCATTAAAGTGAAATGATTGACTCTTTTATCAGTGATTGATTAAAGAAATTAATATATTTTCATATGTGTTCATATGTGTGTATATATATATATATATATATATATATATATATATATATATATATATATATATATATATTCTGATGTAAAGTTACCTTCTGTTCAATCACGCTGGTGGTCTGATAGTTGAGTATGGGTCGCAGGCCGTGGGAGTCAGCAGCTGCTTTTGGATCCAAGCTGAAGTTCAAGGCCACAAAGATGGAGGAGAGTTTATCCCTGAAGTCCTTTTCATCCTGCAGTAAAAGAAACACACTGCTGTTTGAATAAAATCCAGTTCTCACGGTGTTATTGCCTCTCTCTGCTTCCGTGTTTTCTTTAGCTCAATATCCCATGAACCAACGGAAAGAAAGTCATTATTGATGAACACCTTTGCCTCACTAACCTCTGAAGTCAACCAAATTCAGGGCATTTGTAAAACGCACATTAGAGATATTGAGCTGCAGATTCATATTATAGTAGCTCAGAGTCACACACTCCGAGTACTAAAGAGCTGACGCTGTGGACTTACTCTCAGGTAGATCTGTGTGTGGTTGCACCGTCGCTCTCCACGTCGCACTCTAACACTTCTCTGCAGCAAAGGCTGCTGGGAATCCAAGAACAGAGCTCTGCTAACCGCACCTTTCTGCTTGTGCTTGTGACTGTCCAGCTGCACCTCCACCTGGAAGTCTGGAACACATAACACGCGCACACAAATGAGCATTCATACAATGATGAATGCACTCAGGAGGCCTAATGACAGGTCTGCAAAAGACCTGTAAATTCCCCGAGGCACACACACACATACAAGGCACTCAGTGTAACTTAAACAAAATGGCATGGGAGAGCACTTGTATGCAGAGAATGGAGTAATTTAGGATAATCACTAGATATGGAAAGTGATTGAACACAGAAACAACTTTAACTGTTATGGATCTGAAGCAATAGTGGGCTTGTTGACAGCTGATGAAGATGCAACAAGATGCAGATCTGGCTCACCAAGATCGGCCGGTAGGTGTTTCCCATCAGCAGATATGCAGAAACTCAGGTTGACACTGATTTAGACAGAAGAAACAAGTTCATTATTGGCAAAGACTTACCTCACTTATAATAAAAAGTTCTTCTTTTACACCCACTAGTCAATTGTGACAAGTTATTACACGGTTTCATGCAGAAAGGATTGGGAATATTGGGAATGTGGCGAATCGTGGGAGAAATATCTGGATGTTTGGAGACAGGGCTGATAACTGACTACTCTCACCAGCTGGGCTGATAAAGAACTGTGTGCCCCCCCCCCCCCCCCCCCCCGCGCACACACACACACACACACACACACACAGACAGGGATAGCAGCTTTAAGAGGGGTGAAATTGTGCAAAGACTCAGGTTTCAGTGCTGACCAGTCAGTGGCTGTCTGGATTAGCCTGTAGCTCTCTCCCATGACATCAGCTGCACAACATGCTGCTGCTGCCCGAGTCTGAAAGCTCTGAGACCCCCCCCCCCCCCCCCCCCCAGCCCCTTTTACTGCTACACGGATGAAAGACCTAACACTAGAATATGTAAAAGGAAAAATAGGAGTTTGTTGTGTAAAAGTAAAACAAAAAGGGGCCAAAAGTGAGAGAATGAGACACAAAAACACAACGCCTTCTTTTGAGGAGTAACATGTGTCTACAACCGTGTGCACTAGCTCACAGGAGTCTACGTGTCCTGATGTTTCCCAGCTGTGTTCCACCACTAAACAATATCTCATTCAAAGCAACTGCAAGAACCTCCCCTCCCCTTTCCCATTATCCCCTCTGCTCTCCTTTCACCCCGACCGAAACCTCCTCATCACCAGGCAACGCAGCATAATCAAGACATATGTGTATACAAGAGTTTCCTTCATGGACCAGGATGTGGAGAAGTGTGTGTGTTGGGGGGGTGAGGTGGGAGGGTGCTGACACGTGACTGCAGCGTCAACCATGCCGAGCAGCAAGGAACCGTCATCTGTTTCCTCTCCCAGTTTCTGGAGCTGAAATGTGCACATTTGGAGGAGGCCAAGAACAGCTAACAATGCTTCTATTCAGCGGGTCAGGACTCAACAGAAAGAGTGCAAGACAAGGACAATCGGAAAAATGGGTCAAAAAAACGTCCATCCTCGGAGAGATGAAGCTGAGCTGAGATGAAGGATGGTTCTTATCACAACTTCCTGTCATGATAAAAGTGTTTGTATATATATATGTGTGGGAAAGGAAGACGCTCCCTTTTTTTCATGCAGTGAGGAGTCAAAAAAGAGTCACGGGACAGAAAGAGTTTGACAATCTAAGCACTCACCAGGAAACGGGAATGCTGGAGTTTCCACTGGTGATGATGCAGTTTTTCTCCTCGGGGTTGATCATGGTGGGATAAACTGTCAGAGACACGCTGGTGCTGACGATTGGGCGAGATCTATGAGGGGCAAGGCAAGCAGGGGGAAGGATCAGAGATAGGAAAATGAAAAATGCTGATACCACCTTAAAAGGCTCTCCAATACAGAAGAATAGCAAAGCTAAGAAACAGCTCACAGCATGTAACCAGGAGTGGTGACTTTTGTCTCCTTTAAAGGAATACTCTGACCACTTTGTAGTGTGTACGTGTGTAAAGTCATAAATATTTCCTATTTTACTCCCATCACCTCCTGATGACTCAGGTCTTTGTTTCAACAGCAACAGAGTTCTTTAGGACTGTTGAGCTGATGGCTACTCTAGGCACAGCCAAGACCAAGACAGTTTAAAGCAGGGAGAGGCAGTCCTGGTCCTCGGGTGCTGCTATCCAGCATGTTTTGGTTGTTTCCCTGGTCCAACACACCTGATTTTATTCAGTAAGCGATTAACAGGCTGCTGTAGGACTTGACAAACTGGTGAACAGGAGATTCAACCACTGAATTAGGTGTGTTGGAGCAGAGAAACAACTAAAACATACTAGATAACGGATCTCAATGACCAGGACAGTCTATCCCAGGTTTAAAGGTTGATAAAAAAAACATTTACATGAACTGCTGTGAAATTTAGTAGACTGTAGATGTTTTAAGATGCTTGTAGGTGTGCTTGGATTGGCTCTTAGCTCATCAGGACATCGTCTGTATTTCTCCAAGTAAAGGCCTCTAATGAAGCTACTTATAGTTTGATGGACAACATGAACTCAGCATACCTGTAGAGAACTGCCTTATTTACTCCAAATGCTCCGACAATGAGATCTGATCAAAATAAATGAACACAACAGTCAAAAAAAGGGAGAAACGTGTATTATTATTATTATTATTAGTAGTAGTAGTAGTAGTAGTAGTAGTAGTAGTAGTAGTAGTAGTAGTAGTAGTATTTCATGTTCATTTACCAGGGTATCCATTCATGTCCAGGTCCTGTGCCCCTCTGAGAGCAAACCCAAAGCTGGCAGGGAAAGTCCCAGCAGCCCACTGGCCTGTGATCACCTGAGAGGGCTTCTCCTGTAGACCTTCCGAGTGTCCGTTATAGATGTAGACCAGTCCCTGTTGGTCATCTCCACCAAATGGACAGCTTATAGCCACGTCTTCCAAAAAAGTACAGAGTGGCTCATTAACAAGCAGGTTTACACTGTTTATATTTGCAGTAAATCCAATGAAGCTTTGGAATTGTGCCTTCTGGTGATGCTAAAGAAAGTTCTGCTCTTTTCTTACCGTTGAAGCCATCCTGGTTCAGATCTCCCAGTGGAGCAATGGCAGTGCCAAATCTCCCAAACACCTGGGTGCCTGTGAGGTACGGTGTGAGCTCCTCAAGGTTTAAGGGTCCACGCTGTAGAAAAACATAGACCTGACCCATCTCCTCCAGACGACCACTAGAGCCTCGGACCATCAGCATCGGAGCTCCCACCAACAGATCAACCATCCTTCAAAGCCAGAAGAAAAGTCCTTAAGACCCACATAAATGCTTAATGGTTTAACTGGAACATAGAATGATGGTATTCGTTGCATTGGGAGTTGTTTCCACTCACCCATCACTGTTTATGTCAGTTGTCGCCAACGCATAACCAAAATATGACCCCATCTGTAAACAAACGTGTTTCTGTGAGTTAAACCTGTGGAACTATGCAAGAATCAAAGCTGAACAAATCATTTGTTTGTTTTTAAAAAGATGATCTATAGAAAACATAAATGTTTCATGGGTTAGACCCCGAAACAGGAAAGCATTCAGTGTTATATAATTTTAATGTGATTTAATCGTGTTGGTTATATTGTCACCTTTTAATTAGGTATCATGTAAAACCAGGCAGCCTACAGCCTGATTCATGCTTCTCCGTCTGCGTCCGTGCGGAGACACGCAACGTCCTTGCGTGCCTGCCGGAGAGCTCCACAAGGACGGACGGAGTTGAGCTCTCTATTCTAAACATCCGTCAGTCGAGACGGACAACGCAAGCTTGTGATTGGTCAGGGCGCCGCTGTCGTCTACACCGCCGGCATTGCGCCCTCAAAAACATAAAGAGAGCCGAGGATAACTAGCGGCAGAATACCTCGCAAAAAAAACTCTAAAAACATGAACGTTTAATTCCCCCGTGACTGGAGGAGTGAAAAGATGCGCAGCAAGCGTTTTATTTGTGGACGTAAATGACAGGAAACGTGGGTTTAGAGGTGGTGAGCGCATGAAGAGGTGGAGGAGGATGAGAGACAAATATGTCCGTGTTAAAAAGTCTCTTATAAACAAAAAACACAATATAAACACACGATCTTGAACCGGATACATGACAGGATACCACAGAACAGCGCCACGCCCTCTGCTGTCCTGCCGGGGAACTGCTTTGCAACACTCTCCAGGAGACGGAGAAGCATGAGAGCAAAACGCTTCCGTCCATCCGTGCGTGTCTGTCCCTTGCGGAGCTGCCGGAGAAGCATGAATCAGGCTTAAGCTATCAGACAAACCTGCTTTCCAGTGTAACTCATCAGTGTTGTCAGGTCTGAACCATTTAAGATGGACACCTGCAACACAGAAGGCACATGTGGTGAGCATCTTTTAGCTAAAGAACAATCTCTGATACGGAATTCGTTGCACTGATTTTTTTCTTTCACCCTGTACGCTCAAGCAAATGAGCCTAATCTCCCATCCTAAAAGCACTGAAACAAAAGTCTAAATGAGGCTGACTGGTAAAAAGATTCTTACCGAACCATTAAGCATGAGTCCTTTAGGAACGCCAGCTACAAAATCTGAAAGACGATGTTGAGATTTAACAAGAGAAAATTTTGCTTAAAACAGAAAAATTGGACGTCTTAAAGTGTCCGGTTAAATGCTGACACTGTGGTTCTGTAGGTCAGGGTTAAACAGGACGTGTCATGGGAGGCTTTATTGACCTACCTTCGACCTGATCACCACTGAATTCCCCAACAGCAACAGAGTAACCTGTAAAATATGCAAAATAACTTATCAACATGAGATTTCACAGTAAGTAAATATTTAAAAAATGCAGTTTTACAAAAGCACCATGCTTTTAAGCCGGGCGTACCCTGTGCGACTTTTTCACTTTTTTGAGCCGATTTTCCAGTCGTGCGAGAATCCACGACATCGGGGCGAGTTTTGCGCCGAGCGGTCGTGTAGTGTACAGGGGGTTACGAGAGGCGATTAACACCACGTGACCAGCTACCAATCAGCAGTCGTGAGGTCGCACGGACTTCTGGCGTGTTTAATATTTCGCTCGTACCTCGTGAGGGTATTGCACTGTTGAAGCGGCGCTGCGAGCAGCTGCGACCCAAAGAGTATCAGAACCGCTCACGGCGCATGCGCAATCCTGCATCAACACCGCTCGCTCGCTATTTCCCTAATAACACACGTTGTTCGTTTAAATTTCTATACGTTTTTTTACTCACAAAGATGGTCAAGAAAGCGTGTTTGTCGTGTTCATGTCAAATTAAACTGATCACAAAACACAGATTTACTTTCTTTATTTCGTTTTCCTCATCCAACCCCCATAAATCCCTGTGTGTCCTCCTGCAGCACTCCCGAAGGACAACAGGCAAAACAAAAAAGTCTGACGTGTTGAGTAAAAACTGCTATTTTTAGCACATTTTTAGGGCCGACGTGTTGCTACCAGACGTACAGTGTGAGCAGTCAGGTCGCATGCGAGAACTGGGTCGTGCAGTGTGAGCGCATGGCTCGTGAGATCTGCTCTGCGAGGAAGTCGTACAGTTTGAGCTGAAGCTGAGTGCTACGAGTGAAAAAGTCACACAGTGTCCGCCTGGCTTTAGTCTCCCTTACCTTGGTAGCTGTCATCATGTGCAGCCTGGACCTGTTTGGTCTGGATTTGACCTTCCACGGCCTGCATGAAATAACCTGGGTAATAAGCTTTGATGATGTCTTCCTTAGCAGCAGAGATCACTTGACCTAATGATAGAAAGAAAACCGTTAGCTAAACAAACATTTTAGGCTTTATTTTGATGATTATCCACCATAATTGGTGTTGGTCCCGGCATACCTTGCCAGAAGTAGCTGCCGGGCCCACCAAGTACCACTTTTCCGTCCTGGAAAATTACACATGTGAATAAATAACTTGAACAGAGACAAAGCAGATTATCCAGAAAAGGTCTGGTTCTGATTTAGGGGGACATAGTTATTACCATTGTAAAGTCTGCACTGAATCCTCCCTGACAGTAGCCCTGTCCCCCTTCATCACTGATCTCTAAAACACAGAAGAGAGGTGACATCATAGGTCTCTAAAGGGCAATAGACGTTTCATGATGAAAATGAATTTAATGAAAATGAATCTAACAACAGCGTGAATGTCAAGTCTGATTAGTGGTGACTTACCAGTCCGACAGGGAGCATATTCAACAAATTTGGTAAAATTTTTAACTGAGAGGTAGCAGGTTCCTGTTGCATCAGAACGGGGCACGTCCTTCTCGGTTCTCCAGGAGTAAAGAGGGGCACAAGCCTAAAGTTGAAGACAGTGGAGATGATCAGGGTGAACTGACGTTGCTCCTGAGTTCAGATAAAAGATCTGAGGCTGTTCCACTCGGGTCAGAGACTCAAAAACAGGCAGCTAAACGTTGATCTTCATTAAAAATGGAAATTTAAGGTGAAGATTATTTTTAGGAAACAGATTTCGATGATTGGCATGTTTTTTTCACACATAACTGTAACACATCATTTAAAGTGTTTCTCTAATCTTCTGAAGTGAGATTAATGTAGAAAGATTCTGATTCTGATTTCTCATCAGTTTGTCAATAGCTCATTAAAGGGCCTCACTTTGAAGAAATAGAGATTAGCTTGGACTTGATTGACAAGATAACAGCTAGTTTGCAGGGCCAAAACAAAAATGGATATTTACCATATTGAAGATATTTTAATACAAATAATTTTATAACACAGCAATTACTATTATAAGCGTTGCATTAATGTTGATGTTACAGTGAAGTGTATGCAGAACTCTGCAGGTATTTTAGCCCAAACATTAATAGCAACTAGCCCCAGCACTTCCTGTTCAGCCTGGGACACCTACTGGGTGAATATCTTTATACGTCTGCTAGAATACCAGCATCCTTCAGCACACCCTGAGCTCTTTTAAATTAATCTCCTACCATCTTTATGCAGATGACATCCAACTGTACATCTCCTTTGCAGGTCCTGTGCAACGCACCAGGCTAAAGACCAAAGGTGACAGATCATTTGCTGCTGTGGCCCCCAGACTCTGGACCTCTCTCCCCCTGAGCCTGAGATCAGTGGACTCAGTGGTCTCCTTTAAAAAGCAGCTGAAGACTCACTTGTTCAAGCTGGCTTTTGTATGACCTTCTTCACCTCTCTCTCTTTATTCTGCTCTCCCCACCTATTCCACCTTCCTCAGGATCCACTGATATCCCTCTTTCCTGTTCACTCTCTCTCTTCCTTAACATTTTTTCTTTTAAATCCCACTTGCCTATTTTTGCTCATTTTAAATAAATTTTTTGACATTTTCTAAATGCTTTTTTATATTTTTATTTTTGTTTTTGTTTTTGTGAAGCGCCTCGTGATTTTTATCTTGAAAGGCGCTATAGAAATATTTTCTTCTTCTTCTTCTTCTTCTTCTTCTTCTTCTTCTTCTTCTTCTTCTTCTTCTTCCTTAAAGCCCCATGAGATGTCTAAGCTGCAGAAGTGACAAACCTGCTTACACTCTATTAACTCATGAACCCCCAACAACGATAAAAGTCGTCATTTTAAATCCAACCGTTCACTGCCAGTGACAACTAAAGTCATCATTTGCATTTTTTTTTACTGTGTGGGTGTCGGACGAGCCCCCGCCCCAAAAGAACAAACATCTCAGCTCTAAAGCCGATCATCATCTGTGTACGTCACACGTCACATGATCAGGAAGTAGAAAATCCATGTGTTAGGAGATCGTTTTGGGCCGCTGCTGTAAAAAAAAAGCGAGGCGCAACCCGGAAAAGCTTCTGCCGATCACATTTCAACTACGGCTTATGAAAGAACGAATAACGCTCAAAAAGCGCAGATTCTTCCTGATGTAAAAGGTGAGTCTCCTTTTTGTTTTGGTAGTTTTGGTGTTGACATCATCATAGAGCGCAACGTTCTGTGACTCTTAAAAAAAACTGTGGAAATGCTGAAAAACGCTGGCAGCGAAGAGCTTTTCTGATCAGGAAACGGCTGGCAGTGAATGAGTTAAAACCTGGATGATGGGAGCTTTCTTCAGCTGAATGAAGATAAGACTGAGATCCTCATCTGTGCCCCAGACAAGCTGGTTCCCAAAGTCAGAGACTCTCTTGGTCAGCTTGCTTCCCACACCAAACCCTCCATCAGGAATCTTGGTGTGACCTTTGACCCAGATCACACCCTGGATTCTCATGTCAGTTCTCTTGTTCGCTCTTCCTTCTTCCATCTCGGGAACGTTGCTAAGCTGAGTCCCACTCTGTCCCGCTCTGAACTTGAGACAGTCCTCCACACCTTCATCTCCATGCAGTCGCTCAAATCTGCTGCTTTTGTTTGAGCACTAGAGGTTGAATGTGTGTACTTTGAGCAACACACATCCATGTTGTTTTTATTTCTCTTTATTTCAGGGGAAATGGATTCATACACATTTGGACATACTTTGGCACACTACTGGGCTGGGAAAGCAAATAAGAAAAAGACATTAAAAGAAACATCCCTCCGAGGTATCGGCTTACCAGAATTGTGTCACCATGTGAACGCACAGTTGCACCAAACCATTGATGGGACTTGAAGTCAACCTGGTGTAACACGTCATTCAGCATAACGCTCCGATCTCCTGAGAAAACACAAACAAAAAGATGGGGAATTATAACCGACTTATTTAAAAAAGCATTCCTTCAGCTGGACCTCAAGAATCCTTATTATACCTTCCCCTTCCTCTCTGACTTTGTGTAATTGGCTCAAGTCTCAGCTTCACTATTTTTCATGCAAGGATTATCTGGGAGAGAGTCTGAAACAAGCGCCACCCCTTCGCTGTTCAGGAGAAGTGGTCTTAGCTTGGTTTGGTCTGGATTAGACTAGTTAAGCTTGACCCTGCTGACCCTCGGCTCTGTTTGGCCACCTGGTCGTTCAGACAGATCTCCCACTGGACAGCAGCAGGTGACGTGACAGATGGTCTAGGGAGTCGGGTTTAAACACAACTTTATTGTAAGACAGATGTTACATCTGTGCAACAGTAAGGAATGAAGTGTAAACAGACATAAGGAGGTGATCAGGCATCTATAGAAGGTCCTACAGCTGATTCCTGCAGGACTGATGGATGATGAGCGTCTACCCACGCCTGTCTGTCTCCGATGCTTTCTTCTAGTGAGGCTGGAACTGAGGGTGAAAGTTTACTTTGTGTATTTTTCATTTTATTTTTTATGGAATCAGCTTTGCATCAGGGGTCCAAGGAAAACAGCCACTCTGGCACTGCTTCCTCACAGCAACTTTCCATCCATCTCTGTAGAGCACACTCTTCATTCTGCCTTTCGCTTTCTCAACACCATCTCAATTTTCCCATTTGTTTTTCTTACACCATCTCACCCAAGTCTCCTTGTCCTTATGGCCTTGATTCTCTTTTGAGTACAGGGTGCTGTGGCAACGTTAAGCAGAGAGACCAACATTTATACATAACCAGACTGTCGTGTTCTGTGTCCTTTTGGTCCCCAGCCCCCCTCCTGTTCTCCCTCCTGGTGTCCCCTCAGGTTCTGTGTCCCTGTGGTCCCCAGCAGCCTCCAGGTTCCGCTCAGGTGTCCCCTAGTGTCCTATGTCCTTGTAGTCCACAGCCCTTTTTTGTGCCCAGCTCCCTCCAGTTTCCCTCATGTTCTCCTAGTCTCTCCACTGTGGTTCTCTATAGGTTTATAAGTTCAGTTCCTTAGTCGCCTTTAGTGTGTGTGTGTGTGTGTGTGCGTGCGTGCGTGCGTGTGTGTGTGCGTGCGTGCGTGCGTGCGTGTGTGTGTGCGCGCGCGCGCGTGTGTGTGTGTGTGTGTGTGTGTGTGTGTGTGTGTGTGTGTTTCCCTTCCCCACCTAGATCTTTCGTTTACTTATTTTTAGATTTCCCTATGTTCTACAGCGTTTAAGTTTAGTTTTAGGTTATTTTAATAGCTTTGGTTGACAGGATTTAGATGCGGTTTTCTCCCCTGCTTATTTTTGCTTCTTTCCTCAGTTCAGTAGTTTCACCTGTGCCCGATTCCCCACGCACCTGGTCCTCATCTCCTAATCACCCAGCCCCGTGTATATAACCCTGTCTGTGTCTCAGTATTTGTTGGTCATTTTGTGTGACTGCATGAAATATGAGGGAAGAAGAGGGCAACTCAGGGAGAAATTAAGAGACATTGGAGGTGGAGTGATGACTGTAAGGAATTTGTTAAATGGTGAAGAAAGGAATTATAAGTTGGTTGTTGGGTATCTAAAGCACTGTGGTCTGTTGAATAGAATTTAGTTTTAGTTTTATTTTTTTCTCGCTCTTACTCCGACTCACACTCCAGCACAGTAGGTGGCGGAAATGCACCTAGCAGTTAGATGCCACCCGCCATTAAAACTCGAAGAAGAAGAAGAAGAAGAATGTTTGTTGGTCCATTGTATGTGTCAGCGAGTTTCCCCAGGTTCGTGCTCATGGGTGGGCTTTTGTTTTGTTTTTTGTCAGTGGTTTTTTTGAGATTAGACTGGTTTTTCTCCTTTGGATTTTTACTTATCCTCCTATAATAAAAGGATTTTTTTTTTTCTGAAACCACTCCTGCCTTGAGTCGTTCTGATATCTGCATTTTGGGTCCAATCCTCCTCCACTCTACGTGACACAGACAAGTGCTCCGTTGAGTTTTGGGTCACTTTCAGTCATCCACATCTTCACAAAGTCAATACCATGGCCAGAACATCAAAAAAACTTTTTAAAAGCTTGTTATTCTTACCAATCTGTTTGAGCTGCATGCAAATTTGTCTCCATACTTTAAAAACCTCGCCTCTGTCAGTGCGCCTCAGGGCAACTGTGGCTCATCACCACCAGCGTGTGAATGTAAAGCGTTTTGGAGTCCTCTGACCCCGAAAGGCGCTATACAAGTGCGGGTCGTAATTCGTGTTGAGCTTGGACAGATGCCAGCGTGTTAGAGTGCAGAAGAGGGGTCAGTTTGACGTGTCCCTTTGCCGGTCAAAAGCAGTAAAAGATGTCTTGTGTAATTAAATTCCTTAAAGGAATGCATATCACCCACTGCCTTTCTTGTCAGAGTTTTTAACTGAGATCATCTTGTGTTGAGAAACGATGGCAGCTGGAGCTGTTGTTGGTGCACCACTGCAGCACCTCCATCCATATCAAAATCCTGCCAAAGAATAGAACCAGAGCTAAGTCTGCAGACTCCTCGTCTAGTCTTCCAGCTAAACTTTGATTAAATATAGCGGAAAATCAACATTTTATAGCCTTGAAGGTTTATTGTGTTTATAGTTAAAATAAGTTTATAAAACTAGACAGTTTGAATTCACATGACTGGATATTGATGTAAAACAACTGAAAAGCCTTAGGACTAAATAAGGATGAAGGGTTAATTAAATGATCTTAATAATATAAATAGTATGTGAAAATGTCATAATAAAGTTACTGTAATGCTTCTTTGTTTATGTCTAAACTTTCAACTAACCCTTCAGAATGTATCTCAAAACAATGCTGTATCCTGTTTACACCTCCAACACTGTGGTGGACGTTCATTCATTCGTTCGTTTATTAATAAAGCAACTTCCCGTCACTCGTTAAGGCGGCCCATGATGCTGAACACGATAAGATACAAGCAGATAGAGACAATAAAGGATAAAGGAGCAGTGCAACAGTGGGGATTTGAAACATGAAGGCCCGTCACAATCGGACAGCAACCTTAACAGGAAGATCAGGCATCCAAGAGAATGACACATACTTAAAATCCTGCTTAAAGAGCAAGTCACCCCCTACCAGAGTCTAACTCCACTCCCACTTCATGTTTGAAAAATGCAACAAATGATGTCGCCTGGCAGACCGAGAGGGCTGAGCCGCTAACAAATACACACACATACAGGCTCACGACAGCATTGTGACATCATAATGCACCAGTTTACATCATAGCATACCTCTTAGCCAATAGCGGTGGCAGATTTAAATTCAAATACAGTGCAGAGTTTTTACCTGACAAACGGCACAACACTGCCAGTTTTAGGCAGAATATTAAAATTTTAACTAAGATGCACTGAAGTGCCAAATTATTGACGACACGTGTCTGCAGCACGATTAAACACTCGTTTATTTAGTTTATCAGCAAAAAAAGTAGATTTGGGGGTGACTTGCTCTTTAACTCACAAGGGAACCGAAGAAGTTCAGTTGCCTTCATCTGAACCTCTTTGGATTCCCAAGTCAAGTGGATGGGCTGATATGAGCAGGGTCTATTTCTGTAAAAGCTCGATCCCCTTGACATTTATGCTGGGACCTAGATACCGCCAGCAAATGTTTCTCGACAGAGCAAAGGGATCTGGAAGGAGCATACTTCTCCAGAAGTGCTGAAAGGCAAGCAATTAAAATACAAAAACATCACACTGCATATTCTTGTGATTCATGTGAAATCAGTTCATTATGTTTGCATGGTGTATTAGCTCTATGTGAATGATTCAGCTACTAATGCACCAAATCACAGATGAATATCTGCAAGACTATCAGACGTTAAGGCAGCCATACTGAATTGGATCCACAACATAAGTTAACCAGTTGATCCTCCAGTAAGAACTCTGAGGCCCTGTCCACACGTAGCCAGGGATCTGCCAAAACGTAGATATTTTTCTACGTTTTGGCCTGTCATCCACACGAAAACGGATCTTTTTAAAAACTCCGGCCAAAGTGAAGATCTGCGTTTTCTCCGTTTTGGGTGTCTGCGTGTGGACAGACAAAACCGGAGTTTTAAGGTCCGCAACGTCACTTTCCGCGACAGAAAAATGCTGACATCACGTGTGCGACCCATGTTTACACTAGCCGACAGCATGGATGCCCTCAGAGCCGCGCTCGCTTTATCAATTGTCCAAGCGCTTTCTGCTTGTTTGTTTTTGCAAGCGGAATTACTGCTCCTTGCGGAAGACCACAGACGAAGGACGAGGTTAAGAACGGGGGAAGTACTGCCGCCTACAGGTCTGGCATGTCCTTAACAACGTATTTATCCGGGTACGTGTGGACAGAGTTTTTTTTTTTTACACGAGGTGGTGTGGATGCAAGTTTTAGGAGGGGCGGATATTCGTTTTTAAAAACCCCGGCTACGTGTGGACTAGACCTGAGAGTTTTATTAAAATCCACCCAGTCATTCATGAGACTATTTGCAAACAAGCAGAAAACATCTTCACTCTGTCAGCAGAAGGGCTTAATGAATGAGTGACTGAACAAAGAGAGACAGCACGTGTCAGAGTTGGAGAGGTCAGTAAGTTCTCACATGTCAGTGTGGTGCTGTGTCACCATAATGGGTCACAACAGCTTCTGCTTGTTGTCTGAAGGCAGGCGGAAGGACTCATGAGATGATAATAGAGGAGATTCACAGTGGAGATTACAGCCGGTCATCTGGGCAGAGTCGCCCCATCCTGTCTGGTTAGTGCTGACGTGATGCGGTGCCAGTTCCAGCCTCCCCCAGGTCCAGAGCAGGACATGGGGGATCTGGACTGTGTCTGGGGTCTCACTCTCTGGGTGAACGGCCATTAGAGTCTCTCATCATGAGTATGTGCATTTTTCTGTGTCATTTAAGTTGATGACAAAATGGTGGGAGTAGCAGAGGAAAGGTGGACAGAGCAAAGTGACAGGGGCTCTGG